CCCCCCCCAAGTTTCAACTCCAGTCATACTGATTTGACAACAGTGCATTCGTAGCCGCCTCTCGGCGCAAGGATCGAAGCCTAGATGCCCGACTTGAGTCGGCAAATCGTGCTTCTATGCTCCACAAGAAGCGTACTGGCAAGGCTCTCCATATCACCAAGGAGATTGTCGAAAAAGAAGCCATGTACGAGGAAGTGGATGAACGCTATCAGGAAAAGCGATTAAGGTTGCTCAAAGCCCATACCAGCCAGTTGGAAGCACAGTTCCATCGTCATCTCATGGCTACGATGGCCAAGAATACCCCAGCTCGTATTTCTCCCCATGGCGGTATTCAAAAAATGCGCAACTCTTCTGTGTCCTCAACCCACTCGTATTTCCCCGACATGTCTAGCCAAGCCGCAACTCCAGTCTCGCCTACCACTACTGCCACCACTGCCACCACACCGAGCCCAACAAGCCCCGTGTTCAATTTATACGGCAGGTCGTCTCCATCTGAGTCCTCGTACGTCCAGACCCCGGCTAGCGACTGCTACGTGCAGACGCCTTTGGCTTGTCCTTCATATCTCGATATGAACCAAAGCACAGGGTTGGTGTCCCCTTCAATGAGTCCAAGGACCAACTCGTATCGGCCTGCAAATCAACTACAATCTGTACATTTGAGGACTGCTTCTCTAGCACAACCGAGTCCTACAGTGTCATATCCGCCACCACGACAGCGATTTGTATCATTCCCGGATGCATTCATGTACCAGCATCCACAGTTGGTCGCACCAGCAGTCCAGCAATTAGTTGCTTGTCAGACGAGCTCCCCACCTTCTAGCGAGTTGTCAGCGACACCTTCGCCAGTTGACCCAAGCCAAAGTGTATCATCGGCTTTGCAGGACAATGTTTTGCCTAGTCCAGCCCTCTCAGCGCCCTCGATGACTAGTAATTCGTCTCAAAACAGCAGTGGCGATGGGTTTTCAGCCCAGGGCATTCAGCCTCTGCAGGACCAGACCAGCGGAGTAAATGATTTCAAACAGGCGCTGGTCGGAGTCTCTGAAAATCCAGATCCGGAATACCATGAATTCTTCAATTTTGCCAATAGCGTGGAGGATCTATGGCAGATCCCTATGGGAAATACGCCTTACGATGAATTCATGAATTTGGATAGCCTGGATTTTGAGTTGAACGAACCCGGATTCTAGTCGAGACTCATACACACATAACAAATTATGTCTCTGTCTTATAATGCGGTGAAACGTGACTGGATTTACCACCAGCCAATTGCTCACAGTTGTTTTTTTTTTTTTTTTTTTTTTTTTTTTTTTTCCCTCTCCACTGGTATTGGGTGGCGAGCTCAGCGATTTGAAAGCAAATACCCATGAGGATTATTTTAGCCCGGAACTATTTACCGATGCGAGGCGCTTATGGAGAGATTAATAATTGCTATTTTCTTTAGTTACTTGTTACTGTTCTTATGACTTTACAAGTCCCGGTCTTGTCTATTATGTACATGTCTCTAGTTCTGTTCAGGCGTATGTAAATATGTGTGAGAAAAAATATTCAACTCAATTTGCTCCCAACCTTGTCCTTATACTTTGGTTGTATACAACAGCCAAGCTACTCATTTTATTACCTTGGTGCACGCATAGAGTTATAACCTAGGTAGTCAAGTTAGGTAGACATAGGTACAGAATCATCCGAAAATTCAAAAAGCCTCGCTTTCTACGCGCAAGACCGGCCTTGCCCACGGAACACGATCAAGAAAAATTTTATGTATTGCTGAGAAACAATGGTAGGTTGCGTGACTTTCCATGACTGAATATATTGCTAAGAACAGTGTTTGTTGCGATTTATTGAGCGATCTATTGATTCTACAGAACGAGGGTGAAGGCTATGTCATACATAGTAAGGAAATTACGCAATTATCTTTGAAGAGAGGAAAAAGAGGGGCGAATATCGTCGGCCTATAAAACAACGTGTTTCCGATTTGGGAGAGCTTAGGTATAGGCACACCGGATATAGGTAGATACAAAGGGTCTAGACTTTAGTAATCTTCAATGTCTAGCTACTAGTAAGAGGTACGTAGTAGCACAGCTGTTATCCTTTCGGGGAGGTTGTATCAGAGAGATAGAGAAAGAGAATTGCTTCAAAGCTTTTACCCAAAGCAGCAACAACCCATTCTTGAGGGCAAACCTACCTAGGTTAAGCAGCTACCCAGACCCTCTCGTTTATGTGCATTTTGCCTGCCAAGAAAGCCCAAAGTGGAGTTCAGAGCAAGGATGCATTATGCAGCCCTAACGGATGAGATAATCAGTTAGGATCCACAGTTGGGCGATTTGCGATCGATCGCGGGATCCACTTTCTTTTGTTGCAGTGTGAGTGGAGGAGAAGGGAAGAGCTTATTCTTGGGTGCGCACAGGCCAAGTGTACGTACTCAGTACGTGATGCATAGATACTACTCTGTTGTACAATAGGATTGATTTAAGACGGATATAGAGGGGCAGTTCTTATAGCCAAAATAGCCCACAATGAGTGTGATTAGTATGGATTTAAAAGAACTCCACTGTCCGAAAAAGAAAAAAGAACCAGATTTTGAGAAATAGTCAGGCAGTGAGGGGAATACTTAACCCAACTTTGGCGATTCAAAAAGGTGCATCGTACCAAGGTAAACAACTACGCAAACCTATGCAACAGACTGCCTTACCTATCGAAAAGAAGGGTCGAACCCTACCTGTAAAACTATGCAAGTAAACTTTGTGAGAGATTCCACGGATGTACTCCCATTTACTATTGAACATTCTGTTCTCGTGACAATGTATATAGATATGATGTAAGGTGGGGGAAGCAATCCATCAACGACTTAGATGTCTCCGTTTCATCACGCCTTTCTATCACGCACTATCTATCTAGGTCAAGCCACACCCTTCCGACCTTCCGAATCGGTTTTTAATTGTCGAATGAGAATTTGGGAATACTGAGCCGATGCATGGAATTTTTGTTATGGATTATTGATTGGATAGACCAAGGTTGTCCACTTAGTATCTTCGTATAGTGCATTTACTACCAGTGGTGGTAGTCTTAGTACGGAGTGGACTGAACACTCCATGTTAATCTAACAGGCTTACTTTCTTGTCTGGATCAGAATAGAGGTAAAATTACTATCGATTATATTTATATGCATCGGTGTTGAGATAAATCCCTTCTGTCGTATAATGCGCACCAACCATTCCTATCCGCTAAGAAAAGAAAGAAAGGATTTATTGCATCCCTCGGAAAAGCTCTCGCCCGACATCTCCGCTTTTGCGAATACTCAAGCTCGAGCTACTGCTTCGTCGCCGGTGACTGCGAGCCTCAGCTGGGTCATTCGGACTTAGGCCGCTAGCTCTTGCGTACAGAAACAAGACGTCGGTTAGACTGATGACTCCAACTAGACGACCAGACAGTCGTGCTCCGGGAAGTGCAGCAGCCGGGACCGCCGGCGCGATGGTGGGAGGCAATCCCGATGATGGGCTCTGATAAACCTGAGGTGGGACTGGGTGATGAGGGTGAGTGTAGCTGGGAGGCGGTGTAGGCCCATTACCACCAGAGGCTGGAATCGTAGCAGTATTTGGTTGAACTAGTGGACTCTGAATCGCATGGCTGTCTGTTGAGGGATTGGCAGGAAAATGGGCCGAGGGTGCAGATGGTGTTGCCGGCACAGACGACGATGGCGATTGCGGGTCGGTTATCCATACACTATGTATGCAAAGTCAGTCAGATGAATACAATTAAACCTAAAAAGTGAAACCCCTACCGATGAGACGTAGTGGCCACCATCTTAGCCACAGTATGAGCCAAGGTCGATGTTGGAGTCACATAGAACACTGGGAAAGAGTCTTTGCCCTCGACCAAGCCCCGAGTCGAGAGAATGACTGAAATAAAATGAATGCATGTATTTTGCAAAAGTGGCAGCGATGTTGATTTAGTCAAAAGCTTGTTCAAGTATTAGTACTTATTGAATGAGAAAAAACCCAAACAACATATGACATACCTTAACGTCAACAACAGAAATGTTCCCAACAACGTTTGCTTGGTTGTCTACTACTGCCAGAGAGGAAATTCCTTCGTCATTCATGAGCTGCAAAGCATGATATAGAGGCTTGTCCCCACTGTAATTTGTCAGAATCTTATCTGCGATGCATGTAGATGCGCGACCACTCACTTGATTTGAATCACCTGCTGTGAACCCAGCCGAAGGTCTTTCAGATGTTGCGGGTAGAGCTGATCTATAATGGGAAAACTGCTACCATTTTCCCAAAGAAACTTGACTAGTCTGGATTGACTGACAATGCCAATTGCTTCACTGCTACCCTCTTTCAGCACGACAATGGAATGCACGCCGCCGCCAAATGTTTCAACTGCTGTCATCAAGTTGGCCGACTGTGGCAATGTCGTGAGGGGTTCTCTGGGAACAAGATCTCTGAGATCCTTCAAAGGTACTTTACTTCCCTCGCGGGCCTTTTGAGCAACCTCTTGGAAAGACGTGAGCTGCGATTCTGTGGGCGTCGCTAATCCAACCACCAACAAAAGGTACGCATTCAAGTCACTATAGCCGAAAGTTCCAACAGGAGATTTATCATTGACTGATTCGCGTACGAGAAGCACCCTGGCATCGCTGTCGATTAGAGTCTATGTAAATGAACGTCAGTCAATCCGCAACCTAATGGCCTCAAGTCAGGAAGAACTCGCATTTGTAGCCTCCTCAATCCCAGTGTCCAATTCGACAAAACGGAGATCAGTCGGCCGGACGAGCTCCCCGATCGATATCTGCCGCCAGTCTCGGCCATTGAAAGCAGGGTCGGCGGGTTTGCGAGCAGGGGGATTGTCGATCAACCCTTGAATCGCAGCTTGAGTCAACGATGGCTGGCGACGATTTCGGGGTGACTGCGGCGTGTTACGAAGGGCCTCGGTGAAGCTTTGTCGGTGGGAGGTATTGGGCGATTGAGTGATGTGGGAAAGACGAATTGAGGGAGTTCGAGTGACAGTCGATGGTCGAGAATCGTTGCTGGTTCGTGGCGAAGAAATATTAGTTGGAGTAGCAGCAGCCTCGGTAGGATCTTGCCCCACGCGAGAAGGCTGATCCGCCATTCTCAGCGCTTTCGCTAAACGGCGACTGATACTTTTGCTGCGATGGACGAGTTTCTTCAGATGCAGTCAACAGCGGAATCTTCAGGATTTTTGAATTGACTGGAAAATGACGACCTGGATGGAGGTTTGGAGGTGAGTGCCTGATGTTGTCACCGCCACCGCCACCAGCGACGACCCGGCAGAGAGCGGGTCGTCCCGCTAGCTTCTCTAGCGTCTGATATACATAAAAGAGCAAAATGCGTAGTTACGTTGTGTGATTATCCTATGCACAATTCGAGGGATAATTTATACATGGCATATTGGATGCAGATCAACTAGGTTATATTTTACGAAAGTCCCTATGCTTTATGCACACATAGCTCGCTGGGTCTGTATGGGATTATCTACACAAATTCAGCGAGCATCCCAGAGAGATCTTTGCCACGCTGTTTCATGACCGGCTTTCTTGCTTTCTTTAGAGCGGCGTCATTCCTTTTTGGCGAGACTGTATCGCCGAAGTTGCGTTTATTCCCTTTGGCGTGAGAATTGTGGCTATCGAGCTTGCGGCACATAGTGATCACGTCACCCTCCTTTAGCCTCTCGCATCTTTGTCCTACCGAGAATTCGAGAAGCGGGGTATTCTTAGGCAAAGAAGATGGGACAAAGTCATCTGAGTGATTGATGTACCATTCTTTGTGACCATCAAAGGCTTTTGAAGGATCACATGGGGAAAACTGGAACATCGCGTGCTTGGGGTCATCCTGAATGACAAACCATCCCTGTGAGTTGGCCAATTTCACGGCGGATCTCTGTGTCATCCCGTCACACATCGCCAATACGCAGTACTCCAGTGATGGAAGTTGGGATAAGTAGCAAAACGACCGCCCTGTGAGGTTTTGTTGCGAATATAATCTTAGAACCCGAAGGTGTTGAAAGGCTCTCGATGTTTCAACAAGCTCGCTCCATGTTCTCAAAATGCGGTCGTTAAGGGCAGCCATGTCTTTATCCTCATTTCTGTGTGTGTATGGGGTATTAATCTCCAGCGAAACGAGGTTGGCCATCTCAGCCAGTTTGACTAGCTCCGGTACCCGTGCAAATTGGGTCCATATGCTCAGTGAAGTGGCCCAGCAACAATTCGAGCTTTGGACCAAACCCATGTATCCAGCCAGAGGAAACGAAGGGGTTCTCATTCCCAATTTGCAGTATTGAGATACTTGTCGAAATTGATCAGGATAAACAGTGCAAAATATTTTCCACATGTGCAAAGTCCGCTTGCCACTGTTCATCGCAATGTTATCATCATTATACCTCTCTGCAAACAAAGATAATAATATCCACGCGGTACGTATAACCAGTATATCGTCCCAGTCTTACCTTCGAGTCAGATACTGCCATAGTTGTTCCGCAATCGGCCAAGGGATATGGCGAAAATGCTCCAATTCCAAATTTCGTTGATCGCTGAGTATTTTCTTTGTCGCTAGGTGTTTCAAGCTCGGAACGCCTAAAGCATCCCGCGCCTCGTAATCCACGTCAAGAAAGGGGGACTCAATTTCCCATGCGATACCCTTGACAAAGCCCGATGCTGTGGCCATCGCTGCTTTCCTTCGGTCTGGAATCTACCAGCCTTTAACCTGACGATACCGGAACATTGACATTTGCCAATATGTTATGCATAGTACAGCCCTCAAAGTGAAGTATTTCTGCAATGTTCGTAAGGACTCGTTGTGAGTCCAGCTAACTGCTCAAGCGGTGCATAGTATTGATGGACGGTTGGAAGTTGTTTCGATTGTTTGTTTTCAAAATCCCCGAAGAAGTCGGTTCGCACACGTGACATGTGATGATATAAATAGAAACAACGCAGGAAATCAAGGACAACACTTGAAATGGTCAGGTATTGATTGATAGCTTAGTACGCTCACGCTCAGTGTTGAGATGCATTGTTGCTATTTGGAATTAGTCTCTAACAAGCTACAGCTAGGTCCATTATGCGCGCGCCAATTCAGACCACAATTTGCCAAAGAAAACGCTGTGGCATACGCAGCACGGATACACATGGTTTTCTTCTGTTAGAGCATGTAAAGAAACCTATAACCTAACTGCTAGCTAGAGACGAGTCCTTTGTTATAACTCTAATCTTCGACTTGAATTATCTATTAATATCTGCGGCGGTTGCTGAAGCTACGGACAAATATAGCTCCTTTGTTCGTGGCCGGCATTGACTGTTCGCGCTGCTAGAAATTACCTATACATAAGACCGCTTCCTCAAATAAAGATTGTTCGACTGCATTAGTTTTGGTAAGGAAACATACCATTTACTCTAGAAAGCATACGAGGACTTCCAATATTTGTGATTCGTTGTATCCCAAAAGTCCATTTCGAAGATATATATACCCTACCCCTTTTGTACACAATTCCTCTCGTATTACATCCTTCAAGTGCCTAAGCTGCAAAGACAAGGCTTCTAACTTAGGTCTCTGACAAATTTTACTTAACTGATATAGCCCGGAAAGCTCGTGACACCGAACGTCTTGATATGGCTCAAAAGTTGCCTCAGTTGACCAATTCGACCACATCAAAGTCGTTGCGAGACCATGAGCGGCAAACAGGAAATAGCACAAGGAACAGCAAGTCGTGGCTTGAGTGGATGCGGTCTTTAACAAGAGGAAATGCGCCGGCAGAGGGTATTGAGAGAACCACGAGCAGAGCAACGAGCATAGCTGGAGTTGGACTTGGAACACGACGAAAGAAGACCAGTGACGAAGGAGTTTTTCATGTAAGCTATTCTTCAACTCTTTTCATTAATACGATCAAATGGTTAAAATTTACTACTAATATCTTGGGGTTGCAATTGAAAAGAAGAAAGAGAGGAGTTTCTCCGTGAAATATGAATCGCAATCAAGCGGAGAGGAAGACAGTGTCCGCCATCTTCAACGTACACAAACTCATCGACATAAGAGGTCCGAGGGTGAAAATAACAGGGCAGCGAACAACTACCATCATCAACAACCACCATTTGATTTTCAGCTTCCTGATTCGTCTCCAGCTTATGAACACGAAGCCGAAAGAGCATTAGCAGATACAAGACAACCCCCAATGAACACAAGCGACATCCACGAGGACAGACAAGATCATAATCACAATAATCATCATGAACATGGACATGAACATGAACAACATCTACACCCCAGCTCCCCATCCTCAAAATTCGACAACAGCTATCACCACCTCAACGACTGCCCATTCTACACCAGCGAAGTCTCCAACCTCAAGATTCGAATCATAGAGCTAGAGTACATCAACGCAACATTAGAAAACAAAGTGCACAAATACCGCGACGAAATCCGTCTTTTCAAGAAGGATATCAAGGGCTACAAAAGCGACGCAAGGCAATTCACACAGCTGCTCAAGGAACGAGAAACCGAGATAGAGGTATTACACAAGAAGATCACACAGCTCCTAAACCAGGACACGCAGCCTTTGTCGCCGCTTTCGACGCTGGGCTCCTCATCCAAAAGGAGTAACGGCAGCAGTAACAGCAGTCGCAAACGGTATAGTGGCAGCACTTCTAGCCCGGCGAAGGATCGTTTCTCTGGAAAGTATTATCGTACGCTGGAGCATATTGATGAGACCCCATCAGAGCATGAAACGCAGTGGTGGATCTGAGGGGATCGTGTCGTCGTGCTCTGATTCGATGGGAAAAGTCGTTTTCTTTGCGGAAGATGTGCTGGCACGAGTATTGTTTATTCTCGTTGTGAAAGTAAATGCACTTGTTAATGGCCCTTGTACCTAGACACCCTTTTTTTTTTTTTTTTTTTTTTTTTTTTTGGTTTGAAGAGAATCTTGACTGTTAAGTAAGCTCCTAGTTTGACCCTGTCAAGTAGGAAGTGGTCGCATTGTCAATCGGGCTTCAGCAAGCATTGTAGGATTCTTGAAGCCTTTTTTTGTCAAAGGTCTGGTGAGGAAAAGGTCTATAAAGATAGAGAATGCCCATCAGGAGTTTCACTTACTAGACCTATGGAGAGATCCTTGATGCCCTTGCCCCCAAGTAGGGCTATGTTGCGAATAATACTTGGAAAGAAAAGAGACAAAAGTATGCAAAAATATGTATATGGCAGTGCATCATTGAAAGCATTGTCAAGTTTTTGATATGTACAGCATATGGTACCCTTGATATGTACATGTGGTACGCTCAATTGAGATAACAATATGTGAATGAATGACTTGAAGCGAAGTTGATTCAGACCGCACTCGGTGCAGACTAAATGGTTGGCCCATGCCTACCTAGGTAGGTGCTATAGTACTATATGTATTACTATATGACTGTAGATGGATGTGATCACACTCATTTAAGCGTCGAAGAGGTCGTAGATCTTGTTGTCGGTGATCTCCCAGCTGATCTCGATGTAGCCGTCGTCGCAAGCCTCGCCACCAGACAAGGCGTTCAGGGCAGGGTAACTGAAGTCCAAGCCAGGGGCACCACTCTCGCTGTAGGTGGTGGCGTCGGGAGAACCCTCAGAGCAGCGTTGGCAACCATCACCGATGAAAAATGGGAGGTCGGAGGTGACACCGTTGACGGTGACAATGACCTGCATACCACCTGTAAAGGCTTATTAGAAGATTCTCTTTTAGCTATACAGGTAATGAAAGATAGACATACAGTAGCCAGTAAGGTCCTCCTTGAGCTGGGTGTCGTTCATGGCGACCAGGTATTCGGAACCAACCTGCTCGAGGGTCCTGGCGGTGTACCAGCCACAGAGGGCATTGCCGTTGTTCAAGGAAGAAACATCGTAGCCACAGATCTCAGACTCCTCGAGGTCATAGTACCAAGTTCCGAAACCAGTGCCGGAGAAGGTAGCTTTGGCAGTGATGCCGAAGAGGGCGGCGGCAGCAGCGACAATGGTTTGAGCCTTCATGGTTGCTAAAACAAAAAGGGATTGAATGAAGTATATATACTTCTTAAGGAATGATAGAATTGAAGGAGTGATTGAGCTTCTGAGTGCTTCCCTTGAGTGGTCGTGGATAGAAAAGAAAAAGTCGTTTAATCCCAGGGGGATGAGGGCCATTTTATATTCCAAGATTTGCCATAATTCTCCATTTTCATGACTTTCAACTTAAAATTCCTGGCCTACGGGTTTTGCTAGTACTTTCCACTAGAGTAGAGTTTGCAATAGTCGTTAAACGCCTAATTCAATGTCACGGTGCCATCTACGCCCAACTTCAATGCTTGCTTCGATCAAGTTGAAGGACTATTTCTTATTGATGACTTTGAATATGCAACCCTCATGACGCAAAGAATCTCCACTGTTGGTTGACCGATACATCTCTCTGGGAGTAGAGCGCTAGCATGAAACTACTGGGCAATTTTCGCTATCAATTCGTTTGTAATTGTTGACATAACTACCTGCGGGCTATAAAAAAGCTTAGCCTTGCAATACGAACCGCAGCTAGGCTCTACTTTGAAGATTATGGAAGAGCAAACCACTTTGTTACTGCTTGATTGTCTTCGTTATACTGTGGGAACAGAGCCCGGCAAAGGATCCTACTACGTTATACATACTCGGCTAGATTTAGCAACCAAAGCAGCGCCGAGTGTGTGTACGTATCCTTTTTTCTTTTCCTTTTTTTTTTTTTTTCATAACATGGCCAACGTTCAGCACGATCGTAAGAAGAAGAAGAAGCAGTTGGTCACAGAACTAAGACTAAAAGGACTCGGGACAGGACGGGTACGTACACTTCGCCCCTTTGCCTGGTGACGCCACCAAAGCTATGTCACTCAAGCTGCACTAATACTTGGGTATATAGTCCAGGCACCACCTTAATTCCATAACCTAAAAGAAACTGTTTACCGTGACTAGGAGCCTAGTAAGAGCTTTAACTTTAGGAGATATCGGTATCCATGGATAGCATAGTCACTAAAAACGAATAGGTAATAGGTTAGAATCAGATCTAAGGAGATCATTAAACATTCTAGACCGTCTAGCAGTACAGGAAGCGTTTCAAGTGCGCCCCTTCCAACGCCAAATGCACCAGAAGCCTTGCGAGTCTTGCACATACTAACCATATAGATATAATTTATGTTATATGATAATATAACGCAATCTCAGGAAGGCCGCAAGGTTGCTTCGTGCTCCGCACGTGGCGTTCTTAGGCAGGGTCCATTTGTTTTAGCCCTAAGCCCAAATGCTACTCTAATAAAGCAGAACGCATGCAAACGAATCAACTTATGCGCATTGCCTTACTGGGAAAACTACCACCTAACTTACTAGTCATTCGACGTGCTGATAAATCAATCTAATAATGCATGTTCCTGCGTCTTTCATGCATGGGTTATTTGTATCCAACGTGCTTGTGCTATAGGCCGATTTGCTCTTCGATTTGTTGAATGTCACGCAGTGTTACAGTTTCGGAATCTATTTTCTTTTTCTGGGGGTTCAAAGCCAACGAACAAAACACGAGTCACCGAACCGACCGTCAGTTAGCAGGTAGATGCATCACGGTACAACTGTAGAAGCAGAAGAGGTTATGTTGGGAGGGGCTAGGAGAGAACGAGAGAACGAGAGCATTCGCTGCAATGAGAATTGCGAACGCCGAAGAGTAACAGTAGGGCTGCGCTAGAATTGATCGGGAACTAGCGTGCGCATAGCCATCTTCTGATTGGTGGATGTATGGAATGCTGACTTCGGACAAGAACGACTTGCCGCCTTTGTAGTCATTGGCTGAGGTTCCGGCAGAATAACTACGCACGTGATCTAAGCCGTTGTCAAGTTCATCCTTCGTAACTACTCCCTAACGAATTTTTTTTAAAAAAAAATATAATAAATAATCAGACAATCCTCCGACATGCCCGGCCCTCGTTGCAACGTGCTCTACAGACTATCCATGGCTGCTGTTCCGGTCTACTTTCAGCCTTTCACACCAACTATCAGGATTATTCTGATGAGATAGATAATCGCACTCTGTGCAGCCAACGAAGCCACCATCTTGAAAATCTTCCAAGCCCCCACCACGCGAGCGGAGCGCCTAAATTATTACATGCATTCATAGTGAGAATTTGGAAATATGCCAATCGAATTGGCACCGCCTTCTTCATTCGGGATAATGCCCGCCGGCGGTAATATTCTACTGATCCTGATGACCTGATTTATCACACGCCGAAACAAACTAGAATGGGGGGTACTAATAGGCAGACCAACACACGTATAATTTTTCTATGTATATTGCCAAGCTCGCGTTGCAAGCAAGGTGCTGAGCTAGGTAGACAGCTCAACACCACCTGCCGGGTTTTTCCAGCGCGGACATGGTCAGGGCTATCTCGTATCTCAGCAAGTCAAGCTGTCTCATCGGATGCTTTACACTTATTGACAAGAGGGCAATGAGCTCTCGTAGCGAGTTTTTTTCAAAGTCAGTTAGCTCGATATGGATATGCTAATCCGGCTGTATGGCATGCCCTTTGCGGGTCTGTCATCCATAAGCACTATCAGTCATCCCCGGTTACTCTTTTTGGAAATCTGGGATCAAGCTCTTCGCCCAGTGCATCGCTATCCAGGTATTCTACGTGTCAGCATGCCTGTTTGTGCGAATTTGGGAAATTTCAAGCGAGGTGCTGAGCCTGTTGCTCTGTCAGGCAGCAACTTACAAACCAGAAATCTGCATGTCTGGACTTTAGGTAACATTGTTACAATTAATCCCTGGTAGGCGAGGTGGTGCATCAAGAGGATTCGGGTCCTGACTATACTATACTGTACTACCTCTCGGCTACGGTTTATTGTCTTCTCAGTTAGACGTGGGCTTGGTCTGTGGCAATGCATTACAGACCCTAGAGTATGAAAGAAATCTATCCATGTCCTTGTCATGTACGTAGGATTTGCATTGGCGTGTTACTCAGTAGCTAGCTACTTCGGTAGAATCTTCATCATTAAGTACTCGAATTTATTTGAACTAAGACTTACGAGATCTGAGCAGCTCTCAATAACTGCCTTCAAGCTTGTAGTAGCAAAAACCCAACCCAAAATATTTTCGACCTTGATACCAATTACTGATCAGCAATATTGGTCATATTTCTATTTCCCTCTTTCTCACACAGCTTGTTTAAGTATATGAAATTCCACAAACTTCCTCTTCTTAACTCAAAGGTGGCGAGATGTATACGTGCATCATCTCCACGTCAGGAGGCAACCGTGCCCTAACTCGCGACCTCCGCTCGATTCTACATCCATGTTCTCGACATTAGCAGAAGACCATGCAAACACTACCAGTCATATAAGGGGTATTCTCAAAATCATTTTAACCTAGTCTCGATCAGAAATATTTGTCTACCAAATCATCTGATTTAAGTATATCTCGCCGATATACAACCCAACATGACGTCCAATACAATGAGCCAACAGACACGAGTGCCCAGGACAATGCAAGCCCTGCACCTCCCCTCCTCTTTCTCAAACGAGACGACCCCCGGCGGCCCCTTATCATTGAAATACGAGACGGACAGACCAGTGCCCAAACCGGGGGCAAACCAGTATCTAATCAAGGTGCAAACGGTGTGCGTGTCGGTCAACGAATGCCTGCAAGGAGCATCAGCAAGCAAAAGCATGCGAGACAGCGGGATGTTTCTGGAGAGGCCAATGGCCGACGGAATCGACAAAGTGCACGGGCTTATCCCCGGCCGCGAGTTCTGCGGCGAGGTCATTTCCACCCCGAAAGAAGACTATGCAAGCTACACGGGTCCCGCGTTCAAAGTCGGACAGGAGGTTATGGGTCTACTAGCCGATGGCGAGGGGAGAGACGGCGCGGCGGCGGATTATGTGCTTGCTACCGAGAACGAGTTGACCTGGAAACCGCAAAATCTTGCCGCCGCAGACGTTGCGACTATACCGCTGGACGCGCTGATCGCGTGGCAGGGACTCTTCGGGTATGCGACGCTGGATCCTGATGATGGGCCCTGCAACAAGCCCGCCGATGGCCCGCTGAGGGTGCTGGTCACAAACGCCGGACAGTCGGAGGTCGGGAAACAGGCCATTCGTCTGTTGAGATGCCAGTCGCTTTTCCCGCATCATGTCCCGAATCTGATGGGCGGAGCAGGAGAGAGGGAGACGTCGATGTGGGTGTGTGCGACGGGATCGCGCGATGAGCATGATTTCCTGCGCAAGGAGCTGGGCGCCGATGTGGTGACGGCCAATGCTGATATAGCGGCTGCTTTTCGGGAGAATGGCTGGGAGCCGGTTGATATTGTGTTTGATTGTGTGGGAGTCGGTGGCGCATTGTTGCGAGAAGCTCATTCTCCCGTCGTGGTGAAGGATCATGGACATGTTCTGACACCAAGTCGTGCGCCGTCGGGGCATCCGGAGAAACCGTCTGAATGGGATGAGAGAACGGAGATTATGAACAGAAATCTTACGAGCGAGGTGATTGACGTGAAGCCGAATATGAAGCAGTTGGCAAAGATTGCGCAGCTGGTTGAAAAGGGGGTGTTGAGACCGGCAGACTCTTACCAGGTGGAGGATCTGCTACATGGACAACAGACTTTGGTTCATGCCCAGAAGGCTGGGGCGCCGAAAGCTGTGCTGCGGACAGATCTGGTCTTGAGTCAGATTTAGTATTATGTTGTGTCTTCTTGCACCTAATCATGTCTTGTGTTTGGACTGTGGATTGTCTGAAATATGTTATTAGAAATAGATTTGAATATGAAGTAAGTAGTCCGACAACAATAGAAAGCAAAATACATATCCATAGAAGAAAATACAAGAAAACAAAATAAAGGAAGGAAGGAAGGAAAGATGATATATCATGGCTGAAATGTAGGCTCTTTTGTTATGTTATGGCTGGCTACCTAGACAAGCACAGGACAACTGAACATCGTGCTATTGATATGTGCTTCCTTCGGTACCCAGAACAGCTCACCTCATGCTCGCACTTTGTTGTAAGAAGATAAATCGGCCCGGAGCTAGAGAAGAAGGAAAGTCGATGAAGTGGTGATGATTGCATAGCCTTGTGAGGGAGGTGACTATCGGCGACAGAGTAGTGTTAAGTGACCCAAGGGAAAAGTATTCAGATAGGATGACACGATTATTCCTTTTTTTTTTCTCCCACACGAAAAAAAAAACACCTAAATAGAACAAGTAAGAAAGTCTCGGAACGGGATAGAATTCTAAATGGCCTGCTAGAGAAAATAGCACGACGAAACACGAAAGACGAGATGCCAGGAGATTGTGAGACTCGGTGAATGAGGCATGGATTGTATGGAAATTATATTTCGTAGGTGGTTACAGGAGGGAGTCAAGTCGAGTAAACACGCTTAAGCATGCCGCAATGATCTGTAATACCTTGTCAGCCCAGCCCACTCTGACAAAGAATGGGAATGCATATCAACTCACCTCTAACTGGAGCTCTCGATCTTTCGATTTATTGACCTCGTCATTAATGGCCTGCGCCAAATTGGCTCCGATGCCCTGACCCGCACCGGCTTTGCGACCAAAGGGCCATTGTGAGTATTCGGCAAGCAGTTCGTCGACTTGAGCAAAGGCTCTTTCTCGGGATTCATGGCTCATAGTGACCAGTGCGTTCTCTAGCACGTTGGCCGCATATGCGGCACACACCATGCTTATTGTCCGGAGGTAACGAAATTCGGCGTCTTCTGGAAGCCACTGGTTGGGAGATAGGATAACAGTGCGGCTGCTACAGACGTTACGGACTCGTTTGTGGAGTTCTTCCTTTGCGCCCGAATCGGCGACTGGATGGGTGGCCATATCGAAAAGGAGGAAGTTGCGCTTTTCGGTGCGAAGGACACCTTTGTCCACGAGGCCTTTCATGATTCGTTCGCGAACTTGTTTCAATTGATAGCCGATCTTCATCAGGTTCCAAGTCTCGCCTATCAGGTTATCAGCCCAGGCGTGTTCCCTCCAGCTAATGGAAAGGCGCGGGGAAAGAAAAAAAAGAACATACCGCTCATCAAATCGATCCAAGTGCTCACACTCATTTTCTCACTCGACTTCATCATCTTGAGTGCCTCGTCCAGCAAGACCTCACCGGTAAGAGTGTCGTCAATCACCTCGATTATTCGGTCTGCGAGAGGGAACCTCCTGCGAGAAGGGTCTTTTTGCATGCTTATTCGGCCGCGAAAAGCGAGTTCGATAACAATGCAACCGCGTAGAGCGTAGGAGATATTCTCGTTCCAAAAGGACAAGTAGCCCTAGAAAGTAATGCGAGAGTCGTTAATTAGCCAATTGCTTTTCTTCCTTCCCCTTATGGGATACAAAGAGAGGCATACGCACCTGTTTGTCCTTGAGCCCCAGAAGCAGCACCTCATCCATTAAAGTCAACTTGGGTAGCCTTGTCCGCTCCTCGTTCTCGCTGATGTCCCGTGGATCATACGCAATCTTGTGGCCATTTTCGCCGTCGGTATAAGACGTCTCTGGTGAGCGGGCCTCGACTGCTGTTCTGCTGTTAGGGACTGGAGACGAGACTCGGCTCCCTTCGTCGTTATCTTCGCCGCCGACTCGACCGCCTCGACGGCGTGTCAGTCCGCCGGCTGAGGCCATAAGGTGTAGCCTGAAAAGGAGGTTGTCCGAGGAGAAATAATTACTGAATCGCCGAGGGCAAGCTTATCGCGAGCCTAAAGGGAAAAAAATCGATGTCGATCAACAGACGTGGACAATTTCGAAGATCCGAGTTGAATGGGCGACGTTGAGGGGGTAATTCGAGATGCTCCGCAAAATGCGCACGAGAACAGCTGGGACGCTGGGTTCGACGATAGGAGAGCAAGAACGTGACCGCAAAGAAGAGAGAGGAATGGAAGGAAATGTGCTTCCTCCTTCAGGATGGCAAGCGCAGAGGCCAATTGTGCTTTTATTCTGCGATCCCGAAGAGTTGAAGGCGTGAGTCCGCTAATAAATAAATCTGACTGACTGATCTCCCGAGAGCTGAGCCTTGGCGGCGCTACCGCCTGAGGCAGTCAACAGTGAGCGTGCGATTTATTCTACATTGCAAGGAAAAGAATACATCCCATTCTGTGACTTATCTACGATTACACGTATATGTTTTGGCAAGTGTGATTTTATGAAGCTGAGTCCGATAGATGATATACAGGAGGTACACAGTACCAAGAACCACGAGTAGATTAAGTGCACAGGAGAACGCCAAAACTAGTGGCGTTCGATATCTAAACGATTCTCAAATGACACACCAAGTTCACAAAGTCCCGTCCTTCTAATTTGCCCGTTTAATGGGCTGGAAGGGTTTGTTAGCGATCAACTCCTGCATGGCGACTGCGAGGCGACTACGTACCATCAGGCTGAGAGAGAATGTAGGTAACAGCTTGCTCGACTGGAAAAGATAGTTAGTGTGGAATCCGGAAAGACAGTGAAGATACAATAGTGTAACATACCGCTGTGGATGGCATCGGCGTCCTTGTCGGGGATTTCAATGCTGAATTCCTGTTTGAACAGTCAGTATAGCTGCCGGGTAATTTCAAGTACGGTGCATATCATACCTCCTCAACAGCCATCACCACCTCGACAACATCAAGGCTGTCCAAGCCCAAGTCGTTCGTGAAATGAGAGACACCAGTAATCTGTCCAATTCCAATGTTAGGGACACTGATGATAAATGCATAAATGGCGCGTAACACCGGTTATTATTTTGGCTATACGGAAAAAACGAACCTTGCTGGCATCGTTGACCTATACGCGAGTTGTCATGTCAGCGCTGGCGTCGAAGCCGAGACCCCAAAAAGCAACCGTTTACACACCTTATCGAAGTTCTTCAACAAGTTGACTATACGGCCCTCAACTTCATCCTTGGACAGGCTGGCGGGAGCAGAGTAGAAGCGGAGAGACTGAGACTGGAAAACAGGGACGAATTGAGATGGGCGAACAGCAGGAGTGATCTGAATCTGACGAGCAGCAGAGGCCCGGATGGTGCGAGGGACCGAAGCTCTGAGCGAGCGCACAACGGCAGAGCGGAACATTCTGACGACTGAGTAGAAATATAAAGAGAAGACTTATTCAAGTGGGCAGGTAATTGGGGGGAGCGCAGGCAGAGTGAGAGCTGTCGCGGAGAAAGTACGAGGTTGAGGTTGAGGTTGAGGTTTTGATGATGAACGAACTCCCGGCGTTTTCCTCTCGGCAGAGCAAAATCCTGCCGCCAGCCAATCAGAAGCCACACGAACGGAATGACCTAAGCTAAACTTGCTAACCGGCGACAACCTCAGAAACCCTTCTCTCTCTCTCTCTCTCCCCTCCCTGCCAATTCCTCAAACGCCACCGGCAACACCAACCCCCTCACAACCTCTCCCCCATCATGGCCTCACCGCAGTCAATTGCGAGGCTAGTTGCTTCTCGCCGGCCTCTCGCCACTGTGCCGTCCTCGGCTGCCCTGCGAGCTATCGCTGCCGCAAACTTCTCGTCTTCTGCATATCGCGCAGCCACTCCTTCGGGGCCTCCTCCTTCGGGTTTCAGACTGCCACCGCCCAAGAAATGGGACCAGTCCGATGAGTCGTCGTTAGATAAGGCGAGCAAATACTTCCTCATGTCAGAGCTGTTCCGTGGCATGTACGTCGTGCTCGAGCAGTTCTTCCGCCCACCGTGAGTCTTTCCCCACCCCCAATTGTCGCGAGACCGAGCAATTCTCTTTGAAATACAGCAGAAATCGAGTCTCAAAGCTAGTGTTTTCTGTGCCGCGTGTTGAGCTAATTGCCGTGCAATCAGTTACACCATCTTCTATCCCTTTGAGAAGGGACCTATCTCCCCACGATTCCGCGGTGAACATGCTCTGCGCCGATACCCGTCTGGCGAAGAACGCTGCATTGCTTGCAAGCTCTGCGAGGCCATCTGCCCCGCCCAGGCTATTACCATTGAGGCCGAGGAACGTGAAGATGGCAGCCGACGAACAACCAGATATGACATTGATATGACAAAGTGCATCTACTGTGGATATTGCCAGGAGAGCTGCCCAGTTGACGCCATCGTTGAATGTGAGTTTTTCTCCTCCCTCTTCTACATCTAAAGCATACGAATGTTGACAACGCCCTTCAGCCCCCAATGCCGAATACGCCACAGAGACTCGAGAGGAATTGTTGTATAACAAGGAGAAACTACTTGCCAATGGAGACAAATGGGAACCCGAGTTGGCTGCCGTCGCTCGTGCTGATGCTCCCTACCGATAAGGGAATTTGCAAATAATTTGCAGTCTACGTCCCTGAATAATGTACATATCAAATGACCCAAAGAGGATTTTCGTTTCCAGACGAGGGTCCCAAAAGGAGCCCAAGTGATCTTTTTATGTGCCCGCCTTTAGTTTTATATTTGCTGTTCTCACTATTGTTTCCTTTGTTGAAATTGTAAAACGGTTCGTTTTTGGTTCGTTTGTCTCGTTGGGATTTGCCTGGAAAAAAAATTCAAGGAATGTGTCTCCATCAACATACGGAAATGAAGTAACAATATTTTTATATCATACATGCCTACTCGTACAGATAGGTGCATTCAACTGGTCGACATTACTAGCACAGCTGTATAAATTGCGTTTCCAATTTTTATTCATTGCCATTTTTATCCATAACACTGCTAACCGGTACGCCATGGCTTTTAAACCTCGACAAACCCATTCCAGGGCGCTGTACAAGAAAAATCGTCGAGAAACTGCCAGAACATGCCCAGAGAGAGAAGAAAAGAAAAAAAAAAAAAAAACAAGACAAAAATAATAGACAAAGATAGATGATGCATGCCACACACGCCCAGCACAGACGAATAAATCATTTTTCATGCCAAATCAATCACTTTTGTTTCCCTCCATTCTGGTTAATTTATTTCTTCTTTCCACCGGACTTGGCTTTGAAACTTCCCTCAAAGCCAGGTCGGGCTTTGGGCTTGCCTCCCTTGCCACCAGCTTTCTTTCCTCCTCCTCCTCCTCCTCCTCCTCCTCCTCGATCTTCTTTCCTCTTGCGGATATTCTCGTCGCGGCGTTTTTGTCTCATTTCTTTACCCTTGGCTACGCCGTCGATTCGTTCGCGCCATTCACGCTCGGACTTTTTCTTTGCAGATTCTTTGCGTTTCAGGGCCTTTTTCAGCAGCGAGGTGTCGTCACGAACACGCTCGCCATGAGCCCGCTTCTTCGCGTTTAGCCACATGTCCTTCTCTTCAATCTCAGCTCGCTTGTCCGAGTCAAGGCCCGACAGGCGAGTGTTCTTGGCTTCGGCCGCTTTCAGTGCTGCAGCTGGGTCTCGCGGACCGTGCGTGTTCTTGTCATCAAGCAGACGGGAGAGCGTGGGGTCGGCATGTTGCCCGTCTGGGAATGCAATGCGGCCAAAGGCGAAGTTGTTGGAGTTGGAAGCGAGGGATTCCGCGGGAGAACGTGGTGATGCCAGTAGTGAGCCGGGTCCACCGGGGGAGAAGCGTCTTTGCATTTCATCATCCTTTTTCTGTTCTTCTTCTTCCTTGGCCTTGCGCCTGAGTTCCTTTTTGTGTCGTTTGCGCTCCTCGGCCTTGATTCTGCGCGCCTCAATGAGTTCTTGGCGTGTCCGAGCTGGCTTTCCGTTGAGGCCGTCTGCATGCCGGGCTGCTCGCAGTTCATCAAGACGCTTTTGTAGTCTTTGTCGTAGCTCGTCGGGGGTGGTCTTGAGAGGTTTCAGTGCAGGCTTCGAGGTTGTTCCTGGAGCCTCGCTAGGCGGGACGATTGATGAAATGGACGAGCTGCCGGAGTTGTCATTCGACATCTCGAAATTCGAGAATTCTGGAGTGGATGAGGTAGATGATGTTTCTGGAGCGAACCCCTCGACTACGTCCATATCATTGCTGTCTTCTACGGGGGTATCTTTCTCCGTGTTTTTATCCGATGGCTCTTCTTGCGAGTCTTCTGTGGTGGGCTTGGGCTGCTCTTCAGCGGCTTTCCTCCTTTCCACTTTTGCCGCGTCCTTGGCCTTTTTCCTCTCGCGTTGCGCTGCCTTTTTCTCGGCCTTTTTTTCCGCTTTCAATTTTCGTCGCTCTTCTGCATCTACATCCCGAGTCGACGCTTTATTATTCTCTTCGGCAGCATCTGCCTGTTTTTGCTTCTTGCTCTTGATATCCCCGCGCTTTAGGCCTTCCTTGGGGAGCTCCGAGCCCAATTCGCTCACGGAGGACTGGCTCTGATTGTCATCATCATTTTCATTCCCGTTTTCAGGTTCGTCTCGTTTCCGCTTTCGAGCATTCTCATCCATGACATCCTTTGCTGACTTGGCGGCATCGGGGTCTAGCTTGGCCAGTTTGGCGTTCTTGGCCTCTTCCTTGGTTTGCTTTTTGCGCTGCCATTGGTCCTGTGCAAGTTTTTGACGATGGTGTGAGTGTGTGTGATCAGATGATTCAAGCACGCAATTGATGCTGGACTCACACTATGGTCCTCCTCATAGTAGTATTTGGCAGGGATCAAGGACATGAGCCCACTGAAGGCATCGGAGTGGCTTCGCAGCCGTTCCTAAGGGAAGAACAAGAGACGCAAATCAGTTTCTTTCTGTGTAGACGGAGAAGCAGGCAATCGATTGCAGACGCACCTCGAGGTCCTCCATGGTGTCTGCCTACTACACGCTGTGGGGAAGCTGAAAGACGAGGCTTCGCAGCTGGTCAGGAAGATATCGACTTTGCACGAGAAAAAAATTGGTGTGGGCTGTAAATCTTGGCACGGGTAAATGCTGGGCGGTGGGGCCGCAGGTCAGTCACAAGCTTGTCGATTGTTGATTCAAGACTGTTAACTAAGGGCAAAGTTACACTATTATTGTAACCACGAACTAGTTGACTGCATTGTTGTCAATAGAGTGACTGTCAAACAGCGTATTAAGGAGACTTGCATTGGGGATGAGTCTGCCTGGAGACTAACTAACGAGTGCGGGCAACCGGTCCATCTGGGGCGAGGTCACGTGAGCCGCTCTCTTAGTCTCTCGAGTCTCTCCAGAGAAGTAACTAGTTAACTAGTTAACTAAGTTAACTTAGATAGTGATTGATTATATAACATATAACGTGAGATCAGGGTCTGGTTGTTCACGAGCGTACTGGTTACCACATCAGGCAATGAACGGTGATGTCACGGCGACCCTGAGGTAGCGTACATTCTTGGATTTCAGTGCCTGAAAGAATTGCGACACCGCACTGCCCTACGTGAAGATAATACGGTTAGTCTCTGTATGAGTTGTATGAAGACACTGAGACTGAGCCACAACACCGCCACACCACATGGAAGACGCGGAAGTACGCAATACGCGGCCGGTACGCTGGGCGCTGCTAATAATAGGCCCGCGCGGGCGAAATATTACGGAGCCAATACCGCCAAGCCCCGGCCAAGCCGCCGGCAGCCACGATGGCGGGGCACCGCAGCCGAAGCAACCGACGGAATTTGCGAGTCTGTAATTAATCCTTACGTGCAATACGTAAATAACACGCGTATTGGGTGGGTAAACGTGCGTCACCATCGACCTTCTGCCGAATAGAGCAATGCGGATTAATTACACATGATGAAGCCTGTGAATAACAAGAGAAACCGAAAAAAAAAAAAAAGACAAAGAGCCAAGCCCAGCGGCGCAGTAAGCAAAACTGGGGTTTCAGCTGATGCCCGCGCGACCTGATGACTGACGGGCTGCCTGGCTATATAAGGACCCCGCTCCACCAGCCCCTCGACTCTGTTCATCTTTCTTCATCCATCACTAACTATATCCTCCTCTGACAAAATATCTCCCCTTTATCCATCGATAACTCTTTTTACCACCCATACCTCAACAAAATGTCCGGCTACAACAACGAGTACTACGGCCAGCAGCAGGGCGGCTACTACAACAACAACCAGGGTGGCTATGGCCAGCAGGGGGGCTACGGCCAGGAGCAGTACGGCCAGCAGCAGCCCCCGTACGGCCAGCAACAGGGCTACGGCCAGGAAGGTCAGCAGCAACACTACCAGCAACAGGGCTACGGCCAGCAAGAAGGCTACGGCCGTCAGGAACAACCCGCCTATGGCCAGCAAGGCGGCTACTATGACCAGCAGAACCAGTCTTCCTACGGCCAACAACAGCAACAATACGGCCAGGAAGGCCACCAGTACGGCGAACGCCAAGGGTGAGTAAACGACCTCCCAATCCCTCAAAATGTGATATATAACAAAACACGTCACTAAACATCTCACGTCACAAAACAGTTACGAGAACCAAGGCCAGGCTACCTCCGGTGAAGGCCAGGATGGCGAGCGTGGTCTAGGCGGTGCGCTTGCCGGCGGTCTGGCTGGTGGTTTCGCCGGCCACCAGGCACACCACGGCATTCTGGGAACGATCGGTGGCGCCATCATGGGCAGCATCGCCGAGGACTTCATCAAGGAAAAGCGACACAACAACAACCAGGGTGACCAGGGCAGCCAGGGCGGTTACGGCCAATACTTCCAGAAGTAGGTGCGTCGGTGCGTCCCTTCACCAACACAGGCATCGGCATGAGGCAGTATGTTAGAAGGGATCGGGGCTAAAAGAAGGAGATTCCTGATCCTTCTATTATTCCTTTTCTTGTCTAAATTTGATTCGTCTTGTTTCCTTCCTACCTTGTTTTATCTGAGTTCGGCATGCGGACTGGTTTTAATGTCAACGGTCTATTGACATCGGCGTTTTGGTTGTTGTTTGCTGAGTATCGAATACATATCGCATGAAGAATGCTCATTATGATAATCATTGGTCTGAATTATTCTCGACATGGAGGATGCCCTTGTAGTGCCGGAATGAAATGGAGGGTAAAAATCATATAATGAATGAATTATGGAAGCAACGTTTGTCGCAAAGCACGCTATGCCACAAGAGGGAAAGCTACACCTTCCCGAAAGCCATCTCGGCGAATCAAAATGCTCGTAGAAGGACCAAACCATACTACATCCGGCTTAGTGGGAATACTGTCAATCCTAACAAATCATTTTCTCCATGCAAGACCGTCAAGCACAGCCAGTCCATCTGACATTTTCCAAAGACCACACACCAGCGCACCATGATAATACGGCAGTTGTGCCTGCGGCAAAGTAGGTGTCTTCCCTCTCAGTCCCTTGCAATGTGAAATATTGAAATTCCCAAAGCACGTCTAATTGAGTGATTCCCTCAAGGCCGCAATGTCCCGTTACTCATTCAAACGCCCAAAAGGTTCGGACGATTCGCCTCGACTGACACAGCTCCGCCTACCACGACGACCACACTAGCAGAACTGGAATATCCTTTGCTTCCTGAGGATGGCCTAGTCGAGGCCACCGAGGTGTCGGACGTGCCGTCGGCTACAAATGCTGGGCCTGCAGTTGACAGTCGCAAAGCTTTTATGAAAGCAGCCAAACATCGTGAGTTGGCAATTGATTTTTTTCTTCTCTTTAATTTTTACCATACTGACTTTGTGAAATTCACAGGCCAAAAGCTGCAAAAAATCGGTACTTCCGTATCGCAAAAATATGACCCGAACCACCTCCTCAAGAACCCACCCAAGCCAGCAGACATCACCCTCGAGCTGCTCCTAGCCTCTCAAACGCATCTCGGACACACCACATCGCGATGGAACGCGCTCAATTCGCGCTACATATTCGGTATCCGCGAGGGAGTGCACATCATCTCCCTCGACGCCACAGCCGCCTACCTTCGGCGTGCCGCCAAGGTAGTTGAAGAAGTAGCTCGACGCGGCGGCCTCATCCTCTTTGTCGGCACACGCGAAGGGCAAAAGGACAGCGTTGTCCAAGCTGCCGAGCTGGCCCAAGGATACCATGTCTTCGAGCGCTGGATTCCCGGCAGTCTGACCAACGGACAGCAGATTCTCGGCAACTGCGAGATCAAAGTGGTCAATGCCTTGGACAAGGAACTCACCGAATACCAGCAGTACATGGCTGACCGGCCGGCCCTGAAACCTGATCTGGTGATTTGTCTCAATCCGATTGAGAATGAAGTGTTGCTGCATGAGTGTGGGCTAAATAATATTCCGACGATTGGTATCATTGATACCGACGCGGATCCGACTAGAGTCACGTACCCGATTCCGGCGAATGATGATAGTTTGCGGTGCGTGCAGCTCGTTGCTGGTGTTTTGGGTAGGGCTGGTGAGGAGGGTCAGCGGCGACGATTGGAAGCGGCTTCTAGTGGTGTTTTGACGTACAAGCCTGTCAAGGAGAGCGATATCAAGCCTGCATCGGAGATTGAAGCCTGAGTTGTATTCAGGAAAATCTTTTGGCATTGGTCTGGGTGCAGCGTGTATGAATAGATTTCTTCGTGTATGTTTTGAGGGGGATTTTTTTTAATATATACATTGAGATTTACAATTAACTTCATAACTTCTCTTTCTCTCCCGGTTTATAGAGACCATCCACTCAGCGAGAAACCGATAAACCCTCCGTCCTCGACTCTCAACACCCACATACTCCAACGGCCTCCCCAGGTCAGACACAATATATCTCCCATCGCCATGCGGAAGAACAATATCCAGGTCCTTCCAAGCGGGCACATACCCATTCACCACCCTGTCCAACCCAACAGTAACCTTCTCCAGCGTAGCACTATATCTGATCGTGAACGCAGAAATAGCATCATTCCGCGAATACCCATCATCTTCCCTCCACATACACTCAAACACGCGTCCATGCGAACTAGCCCTTGGCGGGAAGATTTCCACGCCCCGATAGTCATCGTCTTCCACATCAGGACTGGCCGCGGCTGCATCTACTCTGTCCTCGCCGGGCGTGCGAGTCGCCACGCTTTTACCAATAGGTATAGCGCCGCCGACGCGCGCAAATACGGGGATGCTGGATTTCCATTCAACGGCGATTTCTACCCATTGACCCGAAGCGAGATATTGGTATGGCGCGTTCAGATTGACATATCCATAGTCGAAATTTTGTCCTTCGGTCTTCCGCGGTAAATAGAGCTTTGCCGTTGTGATGATGATGCCCGGTTCGTATACACCGCGACCACCGATGAGGAGGGTGTCGCCGAACCAGAATTGTTCTTCTTCGCCGTGTGTCAGCTTTGAGCATGTCCATACTTCCGGGTCGGTTTCGAAGCCCCAGCCGATCCAGCGCTGGGGAGGGGAGGCTTCGAGGTGGCTTTCGAGCGCGAGGGAGTAGATGTACGGTAGCATCTCGTAGCGGCGTTTGATGCTGGCGCGGATTAGAGGAGTGATTTCGGGGTACATCCATGGCTCGATCACGTCGCCGATGAGGTTGTCGAGCGGCGAGGTTTTGAAGCAGTTTATTGCGAAGCGCGGGGTGTAGATGCCTACTTGCACCCAGCGGAGGAGGAGTTCGGGGGATGGCTGAGGGCCTGATGGACCACATTTAGTTAGATGTACTTATAGTTATAGATTTGAATGTATAAGACTTACCCTCAAACCCCCCAATGTCATGGCCGTAGCAATGCAAGAGTGAAACCCCAGCATTGAGTGACAGAGCATTGGCACCTTTTAGATTCTCCCAACTGGTCACATCGTCGCCACTCCATGAACTGGCGGCGTATCTGAGTGTTCCCGCCGTTGCGCTTCTTGTCAGGACGAAAGGTCTCAAATTTGGCCGCAAATCCACCAGGGCGTCATGGGAGGCTTTGCCCATGAACTCGGTATGTAGATTGCGGCCCCAGAGGCCCACGGAGTCATTGACTTCTGCTGCACGGCCTGCTAGCCTAACATCCTCATTGTCTAGCTTCATTTTCCAGTCATCGTTCGGAAGTGTGTACTCGTTGTTGTCGTTCCACATCCCATCAATGCCGGCCCTGGCCAGCTTCTGCACTCCTTCATACCACCACTTGAAACCGAAGGAGGATGAAAAATCAATGTGGCAGCCCTCACCACCCTGAGCTCCCCCCGCGCTCCACACATCCATGTAGCCCGGTAGTCCCGTATCCGGGTCAGTGAACAGCGCTCTGGCATCTTTCAGTTTCTCAAAGTCCGGGTGCGAAGAGAGCACAAAAGGTTTGATATTAGATAACAGCCTGAGGCCAGCCGCATGCATCTGCGAAGTCCACTTCTTCGGGTCCGGGAATCTCTTCGGATGCCAAGTAAACACCGTCCTGAGACTGGGCACTCTATCGCTGAAAGAGTACCCCGAACTCATCTGATGTGCCGAGCAGGGAATGCCGTGGTGCTTCAATTTGGCCACAAAGTCTAATAGAACTTGACTGGCAGGCGGGTTGTCGACCATGGTGTATTTGTAGCCCCCGGATATATAGCCATATGCCCATCTGGGAGGCAGGAGTGGAAAGCCTGCGAGTTCGGCGTATGTGCGGACAACGTCCTTCAATGTCTTGCCTACAATGAAATATTCCTCCAGACCCCCGTAGTCCTGGCGATATACTTTGTACGGTCCATATAGACCGTCTAACTCGGAGCCTAAGCTCCATGTACCCCTAGAATGGGAGGTTGAGAAGATGGCCACCACGCCCTCGCTGTTCGCTTTGATCAGGAGCGGGATGTGTTTGTACAGTGGATCCGTGCGGTAGACGTCGTATCCGAACGTGTCCGAGGCCGATAGAATGAAATGTCGATTGGTCAGGTCCATTGGCGCTGCTTTCTCGCCTAGCCCGACATGGAGCGCTTCCCTGTCGAGGACGCTGTAGTGCGACACGCCGCTGGAGTCGGCGACGTATGAGCGGCCGGGCAAGTCACGGTGAAGAAGCTGCTTGGAGTCCGTCCAGGACAGGGAGACTACAGGCGTATTCTCCCATTGAACCGTAGCTGTCACCGCGCCGACTTTTGTTGCTGTTGCTGTTGCTGCTGCTGCTGCTGCTGCTGATGATGGAGTAGTGCTGAAGGAGGCATCATTGTCAAGCGTCTCCTTTACAGGATCACCAACACTGGGATACGGCGGCAGAGGATGCTCTTTGGAAGTAAATCGCACTCGAAACAGATTTGTGCGCACAGCTTCAAAGGTGAAATCGAAGCTCTGTTTGCCATCGACTGAATGGAGGGCTACGAGTGCTGACTCCGCGCTGCGAAGCTTGTACTTCTTTGGGACGAACTCTCTTTGAGGCATTTTGGACAGAGTTAATCCGCATCAGTGACTTGCAGTTGGCCTGTCCTGTTCTCTTCATGAGAGGGATTCAATTGCCTTGGGTACGTACATGGGTAGGAGTGAAATAGGTTGACAGCACCCCACCACGTGCCCCCGTGGTTGATGGACTTCCCTCCGAGCGTGCAGCCTGTCCATTACCTAAGTATACCTCATGTTCCCATGGTAGCTGCACTTATATGGCACTGTTGAAGTTGATCATCTCGTTTATTGAGCTGGTTATACACGATGAAAGCCGGCAGGGAAAAGAAAGCATATATACCAACCGACTAAAGCGTAACTCGTAAGCAGAAATTAGGAGCAAATTGCTGTAAGATATTCATTTAAGGAAAAAAAGAACGCGAAAAGCCTGATATATGCCATAACAATAACCTGTTCTAGTTTGTATCCACTTTTGATTTCATTTTCACACTGTATAGTCAACTTAACCCAAGGCTCTCATCATCAGCTCAACCCTATGGCATCGTTAGCATCGAATAAAGACATATCAATGACGAATGAAGTGGCCGAGGAACGAGTGACTTACGTAGCAAATGTGCCCGCAGAGACTGGCATAGCCCTAAGCAACGTAGGCCCAATTCCCCTCCAGAAACCAGCATACCCTTCAGTCGCCAGCGTCTTCTTAAAGCAGTCGGTCATGCTCTTGTACTTCTGCTCAGCACCGAAACCATCGGTCTGCATCTTGCTCTTAACGACATCAAAGGGATAACTAAATAGCCACAAAGCTTCGCCTGCGAGACCACCGTAAGTAGCAACCTTGATGCTGGAGATATCCTCTCTCTTAATATTGTTGCGCTTGGCATCTTGGTTCATCAAATATTCAAAGGCCAAAAACCACATTCCGTACGCCTGCGCTTCACGGAAAATAGTCACGACTTCGCCACGGTACAGGCCGCGCAGGACACCGTTGTGGGCGGAGATCTTGCGCACACAATCAATTGGGCCGTTGTACAGTTTTCCAGCACCATGTGGCTGTGCCTGTAATCGAATGCGCACATGTTCGATAGGTCCGGAAATGACTGAATTGGTCACACCGGCAAATGCACCCGCAAGGTAGTATTGCGTGTAAGAGAGGCCTGGGTTGAGGGGGGATTTTTTCGTGTTTTGCTCTTCAAAGTACCTTCGTGCTTGGTGGAAGGCACCGAATTGCACGCTCACCTGGCGGATTTTGTTAGATTTAATTCATGGAAACGAGACAGGCCAGGTCCACGTTGCTTACACATGCTCCAATTCCTATCAATGGGGTCAAGGTACCCTTGTAAAAAGCCAATGGTCCTTCATTCTTGAAGATTTTGGTCGCGCAGTCAAGAGCGCCTGAATACTGAGACGTCGTCTGTAACCGCACCTTGACAATATCTGTTCACACATGAATGATTAAATAAAAGACCAGCAGTCTACTGTGAGTGCTCGCATACCAAAGGGCTGACCTGTAGCATGAAGTTAGTCCAAGAACCCAATCATAGGGAAAAAAAAAACGAAAGTTTATCAACTCTTTTCTCTCTTAGGGTTCAGATGTTCGGGGAACGAACAACCCCGGAGAGCGGTTGACGTTTAACATGAACGCATTGGTGCATATAGAATCAAAGGTTGATAGATGCTCGAGTGCCAAATGCAATTTGCACATTGATTCAACAACAAGATGTCCAAATGTGCGTGGAGACGTACCCAGCAAGACCTGAGTGATGCCGCCTGAGGCGCCAGCGAACAAGTCCTTTACAGTGCGCACCCAGCCCGCATTGAGGTCCTGCTCAATCTTCTCGTAATCTTCCATGGCAGCGAGGTGCAAGTTGTCGGCTGAGGAGTGTATGGCAGAGTCGCCTGCACAGAAATGCTCTTTCAGAAAAGAAGAGAAAGAAAAAAAAAAAAGCAATTGCTTGCTTTATCTCTTCGAAATAACTTCTTGTTCCCCGATCGCGCAATCAGGCGCGGATCTCTGATTGGCTCGGCGCGCCGGATCACGTGCGCAAACCTTCCCAGCGACGCCAAGCCCGCGGAAAGCCCAAAGAAGCATTCGCAAAAAAAACAGCAGCGACAAATAAATATCAGACCCTACAGCGAGGTCACCATGCACAGGAGAGTCTTTCGACGAGTAAGTTTCCCCGCGGAATGCCACTGTCTGCCCCCTTCACATAGTGCAAAGCATTTCTAACGACTCCTGGCTTAGATCTGTCGGTGTCCGTCCATCGACTCGGCCCATGCCGCTTCCGCAGGAGCTCGGCGATGTTGTCGTGAATTCCATTCGTCTCCGTATCTCTTTCAGACCAACAATCAAGCAACAGCCGGTGCCAGCGAGGACGGCAATGCTCCTTCGTCTGCTCCTCGTCCGCTATTCAAACCGAGATTTGGTGGCGGGCAATGGGCTGTCAAAACACCCGCTGCCAAAACGCCGTCCGGTTTGACTGTCGCCGAGTTGGCAAGTAGGAATGCCATCAAAGCTGCAGCACCACAACCAGAAGCACAACCAGAAGCACAAATCCAGCCGAAGACAGAGACTCAGAAGAACGTGGGAGGTCCCACTTCGTCCTCGAAAAAGAAATTCAACAACCGACGTCTTCAAGTCCCGTCGGCAGACTGGGAATGTCCGCAATGCCATTTCAAGTGCTACGGCACGCGCCTTGTCTGTCCCAAATGCCTTACGCCCAATCCCAATCCTATCAAGCGCCCTGACTCTAAACCAAAAGCTTTTGCAATACGAAGAAGGCCGCTTTCGAAGGATACGGTCAACGAGTACATGGGAGTTGCAAAGCAATCATGGCTTGAAAGTAATAAAGCCAAGCTTCTGGAGACGTCTAAGGATGAGTCAGCCAAACAGAAAACGAACAACCTAAGCAAAAGCGATAAGCTTGCGCAGCAGCAGCAGCAGCAACAGCAGCCGGAGTCGAAGCGTGAAAAAGACAAGAAGCGAGAAATAGATGACTTCGATAAGTGGCAGGCATCTCTCGAAGAGCTGAAGAAAGCCCAAGAGTTAGAGGCTACTCAGGAGTCGCAGCGATCAGATAAACCCAAAGGTTATAATAAGAAGCAGCGATATCGCGGACATGATGAGGACGAATATGATCCTGGTGAGAGGAAACGACAGAAGGAAAAACGCAAACAGAAAAAGAGCCGCCAGGAAGAGGTTGCGCCTCAACCAAGTCCGCTGTATCTTCCTGAATTTATCAGCGTGGGAAATCTTGCCAATGTTCTTGGTGTGCGACAGACGGAATTTATCGACCACCTGGAAGAAATTGGGTTCGAGAAAGTTATACATAGCCATGTACTGGACGCAGAAACGGCCGGACTCATTGCCGAAGAGTACAATTTTGAACCGATCTTTGAGACAGGCGAGGCTGATTTGGCTGCTGCGCCTGAACCAGAGGATAAATCTGTTTTGCCGCAACGACCTCCGGTGGTCACGATCATGGGCCATGTTGATCACGGCAAGACCACGCTTCTGGACTGGCTCCGGAAATCATCTGTTGCTGCTTCTGAACACGGAGGTATCACCCAGCACATTGGAGCCTTCTCCGTGACAATGCCTTCTGGAAAATCGATCACTTTCCTGGATACCCCCGGTCACGCTGCATTCTTGGATATGCGCCGCAGAGGTGCCGACCTGACAGATATTGTAGTTCTAGTAGTTGCAGCCGATGACAGCGTCAAGCCACAGACAGTGGAGGCCATCAAGCATGCAAAGCAAGCTAATGTTCCTATCATCGTCGCCATCAACAAGATTGACAAGGACAATGTCAACACGGAGAAGGTCAAACAAGATCTAGCTCGCCATAGTGTCGATGTGGAAGACTATGGTGGTGATGTTCAAGCTATTCCTGTCAGCGGCAAGACCGGACAGGGCATGCTTGACCTTGAAGAGGCGATTGTGACACTTTCAGAACTGCTTGATCATCGAGCTGATACTCAGGGTAATGCCGAGGGCTGGGTGGTGGAAGCGACAACGAAGAAGGCTGGACGAGTTGCCACCGTACTGGTCAAGCGAGGCACTATGCGTCCAGGCGACATCCTTGTAGCGGGCTCCACGTGGACCCGTGTCAAAACGTTAAGAAACGAAGCCGGCGTTGTGATTGAGGAAGCTACTCCTGGAATGCCCGTAGAGATCGATGGTTGGAGGGAGCAACCCGAGGCAGGCTCTGAAGTTCTTGAAGCCACGACCGAGCAGCGTGCTAAAGAAATCGTCGAATACCGTATAGACCGCTCGGACATCAAGAAACTCGGTCAAGATACCGCTGCAATCAACACCAGTCGACTAGAAACCCTGGAACAGCGACGCCGTTCTACCGAAGAGGAAACACCCGAAACAACCGCGGAGCCAACGGGTCCCAAACCGATTAATTTCATCATCAAAGCCGATGTCTCGGGCTCTGTGGAAGCTGTTGTGCATTCGGTCACGGGCATAGGCAACAACGAGGTTTTGGCCAGCATACTCCGTTCGGGTGTTGGAGCAGTCAGCGAATTCGATATCAAACACGCAGCAACATCGGAGGCCAGTATCATCAGCTTCAACATAGCTACCGACCCTATGATTTCGCGCATGGCCGAGGCCCAAGGCGTTAAGCTTATGAACCACAACATCATCTATGAGCTGATCGATGACGTGAAGGCAACGATGAGCGAACATTTGCCGCCAAATGTCACTTACCGAGTGACAGGCGAGGCTGAGATCAGCCAACAATTCGAGATCACCATCAAGGGCAGGAACAAGATGCTCATCGCAGGTTGCAAGGTCCGCAACGGTGTCATCAGCCGAGCGAAGAAAGTTCGTGTTCTTCGAGACAAGGAGATCATATACGATGGTACGTATATATCAATTCTAAATATTAATCAACATGCATTTCTGACTTGTTTTCTTTTCTTTGTCTAGGCTCCTTAACCTCGCTCAGAAACGTCAAGAAAGATGTCACTGAAATGCGCAAAGATACCGAGTGCGGTCTCAGCTTTCAGGACTGGGCTGATTTCCAGGCTGGCGACCATGTACAGTCATACGAGGAGGTCGTTGAGAAGCGATATCTTCACTAGGCCGACCCATCCATGCCTTCCCGGCATCTTCTGTATATTAGTTTTTATATTCTGTTATGTATAATTATGTAATCTCACTCGGATTCTCTTCAGTGTTGCATGCATGGTTGGGCGTTTGATGATTTTTGGTGAGAATCAAAACAGGCATTGGTATTCTCTCAAGGAAGAATATACAAGCACCACTTTTCTCACGTCGATACATATACTCAATAAATCTATAAGCTTAAAGCGATACCTAGGGACTATGAAGATACAGTTAGGAATTGATTAGATTAGTGAATTCTCTTGATTAAAATTTCCCTACGTGGACCAATTTCTTCTTGAATTAATTCTGTAGAACCCCTTGAAATATGAAATAAAAATTTCCCCTTCCTCCTCGCTTCACTCTGCTTCGCTTTCACTGCTTCCATCGTCGTCATCGTCCTCCTCGTCACTTGATGGTCCACGCAGCTTGGGCTCATTACGATTCCGAGCCATGCACTGTTCGTATGCCTCGCGTGCACTGAGCGGGCCTCGAGGCGACGGTGCAGCTGTAGATGAGACTGCTTTAGGGGAGACATTCTTGATTACGCCGGTGGGCTTGCGTGTTGTTGTTGTTGTTGATGTGGACGTCGTCGGTTTTGGCTTTGATGGTGCTGCAGTCTGAGGCTTCTTGGTGGTGGCAGCAGCAGTAGCGGCTCTGTTTCTAGGCGCCTTGATACCTTGAGGTTGAGCATTTTTCTTGTTAGATAGCGGCTGGCGTGGCTGGGTGTTGTTACTGCTGCTGCTGCTGTTGTTATTGTTCTTCTTCTTGTTCGCCCCTCGAGCGGGCTTCTTTGCATTTGGCGCATCGTCTTCCTTGTCCTTGGTGGTGAAGTTCTCGACGGCAGAAAGACCAGAGTCATCCCCCTGTTGAGCAGGGCATGCGACCTCATCCATAAGACTGTACTCAGGCTCTAATCGAGCCAGTGACTTGTCGGGCAAGTCGTATGCTATCTTTTGCTCTGACCAGAAGGTTTCGAATGTGTTTGTGTGCATGATCTGGCATTGTCATTCTGTCAGTATCATATCGCAACAAAGGAAGAGGGTGGTTGATTCTACCATGCTTGAGCACACCACCTTGTGAGAAATCGGCAGATCGGGATTCTCATGGGTCAAGCGGATGATGTCTGTCTCGATTTTGGCCCGACGTATGCGTTCTTTCTTGTTTCTTGCGATGTAGTCTTCGATGATTCTGTGGGCGTGGGTTGTGTAGATGTGGAAGAAGAAGTTCTGTGTTTTGGGGAGAGTGTACTGTAAGTATTTGAGCTCCTCTATTCACTTGGTATGGATATACATACGCTATGAGTGTCAGGGCTAGACATGCTGGAGGCCTTTTCAACTTTTGTATTGGTGTGTTGGAGCCACTCCGTTTGCGTTGGAGATGCGAATCGTGGAGTTTGGCTTCAACTTGATGAAGATGGCTGTGGAATCAGGACAGCTAGTTATTCAGGCTGGCTGCTTGGTCTCTTAAGATTGTTGAAGTAATACCTCGCAGTCAGCTGGGAGTTGTTGTGGTGGTTGAAAATGGAAGGTGGCAGAGGAGGTCTGAGGAGAGGAAGAGTAGAAGGAGATATGCCCATGGGACTCCCTCCTGTTGTTGAAGTGCACAATCATTATTCAATAATCAATAACATATTTAACAAATGCTGCTAAGAGTCAAAGAAACAATGCTCTCACAACAATGGTAGTCTGTTGACATTGGGCATCAATGGATACAGATAAGACATTCAATATCCTATGGAAGTCCTTTATTATAATAAGTGTACATTTCTAAGGAATTTCATAAAAGTTTAGCTAGGTAAACTTCTATTGAGCCTTCCAACGGACACGGCCAACCCATGTTGCCCAATGCTGTACATCATCTCGCTCAAGAATGCGATCAACAGTATAATACTCACGTGCCAGCTCCTCATTGCTCGCCATGCGATGCACAAAGCTGTGGCAAGCACGACATAACCAAGCAACACTGTTCAGCTGCCACTCATCATGCCAGCCGCGTTTGAGCACCTTGGCATGGACTTCTCGAGGGATGAGATGGTGGTAAGAGAGAGGAATCCAGTCCCTTTCGCAGATTTCGCAGGACTCTGTACGCGTAGAAGCCCACACGGGAGGCCCCGAGGTGACTGATGTAATGTAATCTGTGAGAACCGGCCGGAGAAACGCTGCTGTCAAGTCCAGCGACTCTGGGAGGATGGCGTAGACGGAGAGTGATTCTGCGACTGACACCGGGATTGGCGCTGCAAGTGTCTCCATGTCAGAGTCTGTCAACTCCGTTGCGTCTTCGTATTTGCGTGCCAGGGATGCATCTTTTTGGATTCTGGAGTATGATAATGACTGTAGTTCGTCTGGCAGCGCATGGAAGACCTCGGAGGCAATGAACTATTTACGCATATGTAAGGCTCCTGGGAACTAGTCAGGGGGGATAGCAATGGAAGTAAACAATACATCAATAAAGTCAGCCAGCTCTTCTGGATCCTGCTTCTCTAGGCCAGCGGGATAATCGTCGTTTGTCACAGCCTCGCCTCGCCTCTTGCCTTTGACTTTTCGTTTCCCGGATTTCCTGCGTCCGTGAGACTTTTGCACTATCGCCCCGGAGACACATTCTCGGAAGACTTCATAGTTGTTGCTGTCGAAGCTCATTTAAATCTCGTACACAGATAGGTGTTCATGGAAAGGTGGAGGAGAGAACGAGTTGAGATGACGTTCCAAAACCCTCCCCGCAGCGGGTGGCGCGATACTTTAAATCAACGACAACCACCACCACCACCACCCTATCTACAATGGCGCATGAGCAGAAAGGGAACGGCATTGTCATTGCCTTCGATCTCTACGGCACTTTGCTGTCGACCGAGTCCATATCAAACCGTCTGGCAGAGATAATCGGCTCGCAGGAGGAAGCCACCCGCATTGCGGCGTCATGGAGAAAGTACCAGCTTGAATACTCATGGCGACTGACGTGCATGGGTACGTGCGTCTGTTTGAAGATTCTAGCTCACGGAGACATTGACGATTCCACTGGCTAGGATACTACGAGGACTTCTTCAACATCACCCGCAACGCGTTGGCGCATGCGCTTTCGGAGGCATCGGTTCGCCTGGAGGAGAAACAGATCGACCAGCTAATGAGCGAATACGATCACTTGTCCACATTTCCCGACGTCACGCCAGCTCTACAAAATCTAAGTAGTACTACTACGAGAGCAGACATTGAAGCCGTCATCTTCTCCAACGGCACTCAAGAGATGCTCTCCAATTCCGTGCTTCGGTCCGCCAGTCTTTCGCCCCATGCCGCTCTCTTCAAAGACCTGGTTACGGTACAAGGTATTCAAAAGTACAAACCGGCGCCCGAAACGTATCAACACCTGGCGACGCAGACAGGGAAAAGCGTGGATAGGATATGGCTAATCTCTGCGAATCCGTTTGACATTGTCGGGGCGACCAAATGTGGCGTGAACGCTGCGTGGCTTGATCGTGCCAACAGGGGCTGGGAAGACGCTGCGGTGCCGGCGCTGCGACCACGAGTCATTGGGACGAGTCTGGCTGAAGTGATAAAATCCATTCTAAGCCAACTAAAGTGAATAAGCAATGCTATTTCTGGTTTGTTGGCGAAATGCTAAAGGTGTTTGTGTTTGTTGCGCTGTAATTATTTCCAAAATCCTCCATGCGTCCAGGAAGTCTCGGGGTAAGTAGCAGCGACGATTGTTCTGCCCTTCCATTTCCCCTCCAAGGATATTCCATGAGAGCAAGATTGGAATTTGGAGTGAATAGGAAGGGGTGTTGTTTTATGAATGATTGGAGAAGAAAAAAAAAGAAGAAACGGCAAGCGAAAATCTTGCGGGTTTTTATATGTGCGCCTATTCTTATCGATAAGGTGGTTGTTGCGCCAATCATGTTTAAGCCAGCCCTTAGAGGATAATACTTCGACTCTCAAGCACTACATCGAGGGATTTGAAAATATTGTGATTTTATTCATTAATTACTTCGTTTCACTAAAGCTATATACATATATACTATCAATCCTAATACCGTCTCATACCGGGTCATCACGATATTCATATCCGTCCCCCTCTGGCCTCTGCGTCTCGAAAAACTCTTTATGTTTCTCCATTTCTGCAGCCCAGAGAGCCGAGCCAGCAGCACTGGTGAGCAGGAAAAACATGGAAAGGATGGGTATCAGTTGAAAGATGAGAGCCACGGTACCGAAACTACAGGCAATCCTCTCGTTAGTTCAAGCCGAATCACAAACTGACAATAACAGTAGTTTAGAACACTTACGCCGTGTATTTCAACTGCCGGTTGCGAACAAACTGTTTCCGCTTGTCCTTTGTAAAGTCCAGAAGCTGAAAATATCTCCAGTGGTGGAATGGGCCGGCCCGATAGCCAGTAAGAACCAAGAACATGGGCACGCCCGCGACCGGTACGAAATTGAGCGGAAGCAGAACGATAAATTCAATAATCTGCCGCATTGAAAAAGGGGCGTATATCGCGCTTGTGGTTGGTTTCCCCAGTCTTTGCACGGGTGTGGCGCCATCCGGATAGATCACCCTTTCTCTATTGACCAGGTGCTCAAAGCCTTCCTTCACAAGCACGGCATCAAAGACATCAACTAGCGTTTCGTCGACAAAGAAGGCTTCGAAGAGCAAGGCCACGATTGCCGCGCCTTCGCCCAGCACCAGGAACGCCCCGTTCACCCAGGCACTGCTGCCTTGGAAGACGGCAAGAAAGGCGACTTGCGGGATATATGTGAAAAGGAATAGGATCGTATAGATAAAGCCGGAGAGTAGGAATACTGGGAGCAAACGTCCGCGGAGGAGAGGCCATAGGAAGGGATGTCTAAGAAAGTAGACAATGCCCTAGAAGAGGCCCTACAGTCAGCTTGCAAACAGTACTTGGGCAGATCGTGGGTTCGACTGACTCTGATGGGATGTAACCACGTTGCGTTGCGCAATTTAGCCGGGCTCGACATGTCGACGTCTGTCTAATATTGGTGTAGCGAGGGTCAAGAAACGCTGCTGGCTGATGGTCGACTTTCAAGTTTCTGTTGCATGTGAGCGCACTAGATTCCATTGGGTTTAGTGTAGTTCTAATATGGACTAGCGCCATGGCATTGTTTGCTTTTTGCATCAATCTTGTTAAACTACCACTGGTCGTTCTATATAAATAATTGATTTATGCCTCCAAGCTACGTCCCAAACCGATGCTAGGTCGATGGCTAAGCTCAATTGATGCATGGCTCTAAGACCAGTAGTTAAGCGCCCTATGGTATACTGAAATTGAAGTTTGATGCTAAATGCACGGCCGTTTCATTTGCTGATATACGTTCAGCATGTACTATCAAATTCCTGTTCTCTGAGCTATCGCCTCTGCGACCAACTTATGGATCGCCTGCCCGGGATGAAAATCGTTCCACCAGAGACAACTGACTCCGTCACTATTATAACAAGTCGCATTCGGTGCCCCATACGCTGTAGGGTCGTCCAGCGCTTTGTTGAATGACGGAGAAGTGTCAAACACAATCACCGTTGCACCTGGGTTCTTCCCCTGAAACTTCTCGGCTCCCTTGGCAATGAGCTGGTTGTAGCTTGCGACAGCATATGCTGTCGTGGCCTGGGCGGTGGTATTTTCAGCTAGTATTGATGGAGAGCGCTGGATAGGGGGCACGGTCATGACAAGAAAATACCGTGCTCCGGCGTCATATAGCGTCTGTACAGTATCGAAGTACCGATCAACCAGCGTAAGTGACAGATTTCCCCATGTCTGAGCATCGTAGCCTCGTGAAATATCGTTGATGCCGAACCAGATAGTAAATAATGCATCATCACTGTCCCATGCTGGTGCTGGCGACAGTGCGGCAAAACGATCATTGACCTGCTGGACAAACGACGCTACCGTGCTGAGATAGGCGGGCACGATGGAGTTGTCAATGGTAGCGCCGCCAACAGCAAAGTCGTAGTCGAGGATGAGAGATGTGTTGTATTCAGTAATCAAAAAGTCAACCCAGTTGTCGCCGTTCGTTGTGGTGTCGCCTGGGAAAGCTGGGTTGCCGATTGGGTTGAATGAGTTGGGCTGGGTGCCAGTGTAGTTGAAGCCGGTGGCAGTATAGCTATCACCACTATTCACAGAGGCAAATTAGCAGATAATTATGGTGTTAGGATGCTGAACGTACAATGTGAAGATATAAGAAAATTTAGGAAGGGGTGCCGGCCTAGCACTAATCCTAACCCCCAAAGAGACCAGGGATAGGGCAAGGTATCCCGGAACGAATCTCATCTTGGGAGTGACAAATTATTGACCACGCTTCAAGGTATTTTAGTTGTATAAATCTAAGCCCGTACAAGTCCTGATTATATATTGGCAAAAAGTATCCCAATATGCCGCAGGAACTTCATTCACAAGAATGAAGACTTGAAGGCAGATTGTGCATCTTATGTTAAAATTTCAGAATAACTCGAATCGATAAGTATTTCTCCCCGCATTTTCTTGTTTTTTCTTGCTTTTCTTCAGCGGGGAGAATGACTTGTCAATCAGGAACAACATTTTTTTCCACCAATAGGTAACCCCTGCATAAACAGGTATATCTAGGTAATCAGGCTGAGCAACGGGAAGCGGTCATTGTCGCTAGATCTTTAGGCCGAGAAATCACAAGAAGTATTCGATGCGACTAGATCAGTCATGGTAGCGGGTTGTTTACTCTAAAGTGGGAGTAATCTGTTATGGGCTGTCGGTTAAGTCGATTAATCCCGGAGTCGACATCTGTCTTGAAATCATACCGTGGTCAACCACCTTGGAAGTTCACTTCGTTGTCGTAAGGAAGCAGTTTAGAATCACTTTGTGAAATAAAAAAGGTGTTTGGGGGGTGAAAATTATAAATTATATACTAGCAGTAGTTATATTAGGGACTAGTCACGGGCCCACTTCCGCCGGAGTAGACTCAGTAGAGAGCCAAAAGAGTCACGACGTCAACTCAACTCAACTTGGTGCTTGCTTAGTACTATTATTTTTCAAGTCTCACTGACGATCCAGCATTATATGCAGGGTTCTACGAGTCCGTGAAATAAACACGTCTTGTCTTTCAGACAGTAAATTTGGCCTTTAGCCCTATGATATTAGGAAGCTTGTCCAGTTTGCGCTGTCGGAAATTTCAACCGGGACTTTTTTCTCTGCGACTCTCGGACTCTCTTGACCGGCTTCTATTCGTCTGCCAGTTGTCGTTCATTCTAGAGAATCGGCATATGAATATCCTTGATTCGTTCTATTCCTGCTGTTGCGTCACCACGGGTCTTCTTCGGCAGTCATTGCCGATGGCGAACAGCAAAGCTCAAGATTACCAGTCAGACGTATAACGAATATTTACATTCACATGGCTCTAGACTGTGACGATATCATCCTATAATGGATGGTAAAACCCGGCTGCAGAAAGCATGCGATGCATGTAACATCCGGAAAGTCAAGGTTAGAAATCATTCATCCTTGCCGGAAACGCATGATGCAGACATCTCATTGACCATGCCTGCAGTGTGACGAGGGTGGACCACCATGCCAGTCATGTACTGCTCTGGATATCCCGTGTACCTACAACCGTCCTAAGAAACGCCGGGGTCCACCAAATAAACATGCAGAAGCAATCAAGAAGCAAAAAGCCGAAGCTAAAGCGGCGGAAAAAGCACCGCCACCAACAACAGTGCTCCCTGCTCCTACTAGCAAAATCTTACCTTCAGATACGAGCTCGGAACAGAGCCTGCTAGATCTGTCCGGGGAATCGATATGCCCCTTGCCAACGTTGCAGCTCCTAGTCGATGACTACTTCCTCTTCATTCACCCTCTCATCCCAGTCCCACATGAACCTACTTTCCGACAGGCATTTGCAAACAGAGAAGATGTGACTAACAAACGATTCCTAGCGTTGCTCGCCTCCATGATAGGGACCCTAGTAGCCTCCTTCCCACGTCGGCCAAGGTTGCATCTGCGAACAGATTCTGCAGAAAGCATGTACCCTAACTCAATGGCTCTGGTTAAGCGTTGCCACGACATTGCCGTCCAAGCTAGGGGACTCGGCTATCTTGATACGAGCACCACAATTGAGGACGCTGCGATTAGTTATCATTTATCGCTTTGTTCCAGCTATGTATACAATATGCGGCGCTGTCGAATGTATCTTGGCGAGTGCATGACTATTTTGCGTGTCTACAATCTGTATAAGCCCTCCAGGCAAGGCGTTGCTAATCTCAGTCCGGTAGTAGCTGCTTCGCCGGTTTCTGAGGCACAATATCAACTTGTCGATCCCAGTGAAGCTACAGACAATTTGTTAGTTCAAGAGCAAGGGAGACGACTTTTTTATATCTGTCTTGCTGGTTTCCAGACACTTCATCAACTGGGATCAGCAGATGGCAGAGCATATATTCCTCCTGAAACCCCGACAGACCGCTACCCTCCTCTTCCAATCGAAGTAGACGACGAGTATCTTTCTGCCAACCAGTGTGTCTCCCAGCCTATTGGGATTGTCCCACAGCTCACCGGGTTCAACGCCAACGTGCGCATATTTCAGTGCTACAATTCATTACTGGCATTGGAGATTGCTTTTAACAGTAGCGGAGCGATGAGCTGGGATAACCAAAGACAGTTGATATGGGAATCCCTGCAACAAGCGAAAACCATCACAGCAGACCTGCCCCCAGAACTTTCATTACATCATCCGCAGCAGGTTCAGCAGTTATCTCCTCCTCTGATGAATCTTGGTGGCTGGCCTCCAGCCTACGGAGATGGCGTGACGAACCGTGACCAAGAACGGCGGAAGATACAGTATGAAATACAAAAGGTCAATATATACATAAGCCAGTTATCAACGCGATCTTACCTTGTCGATAAATACTGGACCCTATTCGATGGCCACACCAGGCTCGAGAAGAAAAGAGCTGCTTCTTCTTCGGCATCAAATACTCCAATATTAATGCCTTCAACCCAGATGTCTTCTCTAGGTGCCACCACCACGTCCAATATCAAGTATGAACCGGGCGATACGACGACAACAGCACCAGATGCGGAAGTTCATGCGCAAACGGATCATATGGGATACATGATGCGGCAGGAGCGCGGACTAGTAATCAAAGACCTCTTGTGTCTACTCAAGAGCGTGCAAGAAATCCATATAGAACCGAATGGGGCCAGTTTTGTACGTACTCAAATTTTCAAATCCCGCTTGAATCATGCACACTAATGTCAGTAATTGTCCAGACCCAGAAAGTCCGGCAAATCGCCTCGACACTTCTCAGCCTTCCTCAAGAGCTGAATACCACACTGCAAACCACCACAGATCCCATCACCGGTACATCAACGACCACCGCCACAACTCCGACCCCCCAACCAGGCGCGCAACCACTCTCCACAAGCGACGCCGAAAACTACCTTCGCACATTCCTTGACATCCTCGTTCGTCTCGAGGGCGTGGGTGTAACCGGCGGAGACCCAATCCAGACCGCCACTATCAGCAGTAGTAATATCAATATCAAAAAGGACGAGTTGAACATAAACCAAAACGTAGTTAACAACAACATTGACATGCTAAACGTCGATGCTGCCGCGTCCACCCTCCTCGCCGACCCAATGGTAGCATCAGCAGCGTATCCAAGCCCGAACGGCAACGAAGCGTACCTTCAAGCGATGCCCTATGCGGGCGATGGGATTAGCGCGCGGGAAGAGGAGGAGTTGAGACAGTGGGCTAGCTTTAAGGAGTTTCAAAAGACATTCATGGAAGATGGGGGGTTGTTGTACTCGATATGACTTTATTTCCCCATCGCGTTTCTTGTATTCTTTAATGGATTAATACACTTGGTTGTCCTACCACTATATGCTTACTATACAATGTATAAAGTTACTTCAGAGTGAAAAGCGAGCATGCCATCATTGGGTATCTATTGCTGTATCTGCAATTGATTATGATCTATGTATACAACCGCACTTTTTTTCCACTTTTTTTTTTTTTCTTTTTTTTTTTTTTAATAAAAACACAATCTCGCCGCACGTAAAAGTACATAAAAGAAAATTTCAGTGTCAGTCTAGATGAGTAAAGACAAAAAAGAGGGGGAAAGAGAGCAGAAAAAGCAGACATAAATGATTATATCAATGAACTGGAGGCTGGGATTGATTATTAGTGTGTTGCTTTTCAGAACATAAACATAAAACATATGAAAGCATCAAATGAACCTGAGCAATGACAGACAGACAACTTAAGCAAAAGAAAGAAGGAAAGGAAGAAAAAAGGACTAGAACATCCTCTTCAGAGGACTTGGCGTCGCAGTCACTGTAGCCGTAAACACCCTCGTCACCACCATCCCAGCACTAGTCACAGTCACGGTCTCCGTCTCCGTAATTGTCGTAGGCAGTAGTTGCGTGATAGTCGATGTCATCCAGTCTGTTACTGTCACTGTGACCGTGCCAGAGGCGCCGGTGGCGGTGGCGGTGATTGCGGCGTCATTATTATTATTACTACTACCATTACCACCACCAGCAGTAGCGACAGTCTGGGGCAGAGAAGTAGTCAAAGAAGGATTGGCAGTTGTAGCAATGACGTTGGGGTTTGCGGGCTGTTCTGCTGCGGTTGTCGCTGTGGCTATGGCTGTTACGTAGTTTGTTGAAGTCATGCGAATGTATGAAGTTGAGGTTCCGTGGTCTTGAGTTGGTGTTGTTGTTGTTGTGGTGGTTGCTGAATTGGGCTGTGCTGGCTCAGCTGGTACGCCGGCGGTAGGTGTATCTGGTACTGTGGATGTTCTCGCGCTTGTTGGGGTGGCCATCCCTGGTACAGTGGTTGTGTCTGTTGCGCTGTTGATGATCACCGTAGGTATGCCCGCTGGTGAAGAGGTGCTAAGGGCATTGTGGGTGCTCGTGGTGGTTGGGCTTGGTGGTTGGTTGGTTGTAGTTGGTGTAGTTGCAGATATTCTGTAGGTTGATAACGGCCCTCCCTGAGCGAGCGGCACTCTTGCTGTAGAAGAGGATTGGTTTGCAGGAGTGCTTGTGCGTGTCGTGGATGTTTGAGAGGGAATAGTGGCTTGTGGCGGAGTGTTTGTTGTACTTGTTGTTGTTGTTGAAAATAGAGGGATACCCGTGCTTGAACCACTAGTTGTATGTGCAAGGTTCGTGCCGGTAGATAGAGCGGCAGGAGCAGGAGCAGGAGCACCTGTACCAGCGACAACGGCAGTAGAGCTTGTAGGACTCCGTCTGGCACTGTGACTACTGCTGCTTGAGCCAGTACTCGGAATAGCAGAGTGAGAGGATGTAGTAGGTACGGCTGAAGTACTCGTCGTGCTCGTAGCTCTGGTACCAGGGGTTATTGGCGTAGTCAAGCTGATGATAGAGCCTTTTGCATCTGGTATTTTGGTAGTTGCAGTATCAGGGGTTGAAGTAGCAGGCGTCGTAGTAGTCCGGATTGTAGTAGCAGGGGTTGAAGTAATCAGAGGTAAAGTAGCAGGATTTGAAGTAGTTAGGATTGTAATAGCAGGAATTGTATTAGTCGGGGTTGAAGTAGCAGGCGTTGAAGTACCAGGAGCTGAAGTAGTAGGTGTTGAAGTAGCAGGCGTCGTAGTAGTCCGGATTGTAGTAGCAGGGGTTGAAGTAGTAGGGGTTGAAGTAGTAGGGGTTGAAGTAGTAGGGGTTGAAGTAGTAGGGGTTGAAGTAGTAGGGGTTGAAGTAGCAGGATCCGAGCTTGTAGCCGACGTAATGTCCGTAGTTGTAACTGATGTCACTGCAACCAAAGGCATATGTACAGAGTGTGAACTAGTAGCACCAGTACTGGTGGGCGGAGAGGACGTTGTCGTGGTGGTAGTTGTCAGTGAATGATTGGGGGTAGGGGTGGTGGTGCCCTGTCTGCGATTAATTCGGGGTTTCTCAAGAGGCAACGAAGTGGCAGTGTTGCTGATTGCTATCAACAGCACCATTAGAATGGTTGAGAATGAAGCGAATGGCTTCATTTTGGAACGAATGAGAGAGGATATCTGATATCCAAGTTTTCAGTTTGGGGTAATTTTGGGGGGTTTCTTCGAATATTAGTAAATTAACATCAGAAAGAAAACGACAGACTGAAACAAAGAAGCTTTTGGCGGAGAATGAGGATGGACCAGCCAGAAAAGAGACAGGAAAGGAGATGTGCTGTAATTGAAGCAGAAGAGAAATTATTGATGTGAGTGACTCTGAGCCCTGACTACCTTATTTCACTATGTAGTCAGAGAGTAAGCAGCACCAAAGAACAATAATTCTATGGTAGAATGAATGTTAAAAGGGAAAAGGCAAAAAAGCTCTTGATCATCAAATGGAAGGCTGAAGCAAGAAACCACCCTAGAAAAATGCAATAGAAAAGGGGCAGGGTAAGAAAGTGCCCAGGTAACTATTTGGAAAATGAGCGAGTGAGAGGGTTCGCGCAAAGCGAGAGACAGAAATACAAAAGCTCAAAGATCTGGAGAGAGGAAGGACTGAAAAGAAAAATGGCATTGTTCTAACGTCTAACATGACAGGGTGGCTGGGAGAGTCTGTATTTAAAGAGCGAGCCAGGAAACAAAGGACCACTCTGGACACATCAAGAAGGACAGTGTTGAAACAGAAGTAATTACAGACATGAAGCGTGAAGATACATAATTATAGCCATGACTACAGCCCAGTGATTCAAGCTCCAGGACGGGGCAAGCAATGATTGGCTCTCAGCAGCAGAAAGCAGGCGCCCTCGTGTGGGAATTGGTGGATCCACTATACCATATACGGAATAAACATGGTGTGGGTCATACCTGGCCTGTGCATCCGGATCGCTTGAGTCATTCCTATTGGCCACATAGATTTAGCGCGAATGTTTATTTCAGGAATTGCATCCAGCGGAGCTCTGCGATTGGCCGATCTATCCCGGCTAGCCTAGATCGAACACATCAATGGATGCGACTCTACGATCATAGAGTTGTGTAAATATAGCATACGCTGCCTTATCGGCCCATCGAGACCTTGGGAGACTTTGAGTTTGTCTTGAAACAACGCTACTCAGCGATGATGTCATTCGCTTGCTCGCTAGCTTGGAAGAGATGCCAATTGCAGCCTGCAGACGGCCGTTAGGTCGCAATCATGCGAAGTCCTATTCTTCTTATAGCTTGCTTTAAAGACGTGGTTGGTCTAAGTTGCACGTCTAAGAAACAGCAGTGCAGTTATTTTCACTTAATGACTGACAACCGTACGTAACATTAAACTATCTAATAGCCCGAAGCTATTTCCAGAGACAAGACTTGAAAGACTACTCTGCTGTCCGCTAAGCCTCAACTGTAAACGTACCGCTTATACCTTCAAAGGACGTTATTTTACCCAGGGCGCTCTTGGAATCACCATAATAGTGCAGGCGATAAGAGCCACTCTGCACGGGATTCGGGTCATCCAGCGCATAGTAGCTGTCTTCAATATTCCAGGACATGATAACATTACTATAGCCAAGCACGGTGTTGGTTCGTACCCAATGATAGACAAGGTTCCAGTCGGCGTCCGTGCGTACTGTCTGCCACATACTCGAAGTCTCGTTGAACCACTCGACGGCAGCAAATGTGCCCTCTAGTCGTAGATTGTTGCGTGGATTGGCGCCAACAAAAGTCGCATTGAGTGTGTCACCGGGACCGTACGTGATGTTGGGAGACGTAGATATAACATCGCCAAAGGAGTAGCCTGAAGTTGGATTGTCGTACACGACTCCGGTGATGAAGTCAAGAGAGACGTTTGTGTTAATAGGAGGCTCTGGGCCGTGAGCTAGTGGTGGCAATGCGGCTACAGATGACTGGCTTCCTAAGTGGGGGAGATAAGTCAATGTCAGGTTTATATACCCGGCCAGCTCATTTGGTCCGAACAAGGTAGATGCCCCTTCGTAGCGTTGGACGCCATACTCTTCCTCGGTAGTCAGGTAATGAGCGTATGTGTTGGCCGGAGAGCCGAGGACGACCAACGGATCGGTAATGCCTAGAACTTCTGAGGATGCATTGAGTATGTGGTCCTTCCAACGGCGCCCAGACATGGTGGTGACCTCGCTAGGGGACACGATGACGATCAGCTGTCCGATGCGAAGAAGTTGAATATCAACGATATTGGGTGCCCAGGCGTATGGTAGATTCACGGCTCCTGCGTCAAGGAGAATATCTTTCGGCGCTTGGCAGGCGTTCTGCGCTGCAGATGGCTCATGTATAAATGCACGAGCAACAGCCCACAGAGGATTACTTGCGGCTGGCCCAGTGCCGTTCTGAGTAAAGTCGAAGTCTCCAGGCCCGTCAGTAGTTCCCGCAGCAAAGGAGTATCCGAGTGCTGCATAGCATGTAGTCAATGTCGATCCGTTAAAGGGTGAGGGAAACGTATATCCCGTAAAATTGTGATAAATGTGGAACGAAGCAACATTTGAGCTCCCAACTATCTGGGTACCATTAACATCCAGTTGATCATAAAGTGTCCTGGCCGCTGTGTACTGCCGTCGTCCCATCTCGAAACAACTCTTTGTGCCGGCATCGTTCATATAAAAGTAAGGGCCTCGTCCGCGACATAGCTCTGTCTTTCCATTGCAAGTACTATCCGAAAAACGACAGGGTAGCCCTGTATCTTCGCAGTAAGGACCAAGGACATTTGGTGAGGAGTCACCAACACTTGATTGCGAAAACCCTGCAATAAACCCATCTGCAAATCTGGTATCATTTGCAACGCTGCGCTCAAATAGATAAGCTGCGACACCCTTGTTGTCTCCTGCAACGAGGGTGTTGTTCTCATAAAGCGAGGTGCCGTGGACAGAGAAGAAACTCAAGACAGCAAAAGTCTTACTATCGGACGTGCGGTCGAAGCGTAATAAGGTCATTGTCTTGTCCGTGTCATACTCATACTTGGCTCTCTCTTCCTCCGGATTTGCTAAATAAGAATAAGGACTTCTGTTGATATTGCCGTCGGGGATTTCGATGTTGCCTATGGTTAACTGGCCCGGTGTCAGGCTTTCATGGGCTCGCTGGATGGATAGCAGCGCACCGTCAACCATCGCCTGGTAGCTCTGCTTGTCAAATCCCAGGGATGGAACCTGAGGCAATAAATAATTCATCCACCCGCCGACTCCAGAGTGAGCATGGGTTCCGCTCAGGGCTATATTATGCTCGCCATAGCGGGCATACTCTCCCCCTAGGGCTGCTATCCCCTGCAGGACACCGTTTCGAACAGCAGTATCGCCGGATTGGGCATCAAGAACGAGGTAGATGAAAGTATTGGTTGTATTGTCTGGATCGGCAATGATGAATGTCCGCGCATACATTCTCTGCCGCACACCTGATCCAACTTGGCTGATATTGGCATATCCATTCAGATTGACCTCGACTACGGCCCTAAAATTGAGGTCAGTCGATGTATTTACACAGTCCAGCGAAAACGGACAGAAGGCGACAAGCTTACCCGGTAATATCAGCTTTACCGGCGCCCAACAGGAAAACGCTATCGTCGGCCCTTGATGATTGCTCGAAAAAGGTCTTGTAGTTCTCATTCAAGTGAGGAGGCGAATAAGCCGGAGCAGGGTTTCCAATTGGCAGGTCGATATCTACAACCAGCTGCAAGAGGAACAGCAGCCCAAATGCAGCGCCCACCGAAAGGGCGACGATGAAGCCAGAGCGCGCCATCCCAGCTAAGTTGTTGTCTGTGCGGATTAATGCATATATTTGTAAGTACTGTGAAAGTGCAGCAGTACAATCGGACGTGGCCCTTTTATTTAAGGGAAACGAGTGGACGGACAGCGGGGAGTACCTGGCCAGAGGTTCACATGATAGGCAGCCAGCCCTTGATGCCTGTAAAGCCAGGAGACCAACTAATTTAGCTGCTATACATCAAGCGTCAACTAGCGAGTGGCCACTATCGCAGTGATAAAAGTAGCACTAACTACTATTTATTCATTTATTTTTGGTGAGAGCAGGAATGCGGGGAGGGGGCCCTTAGGCTATTAGGTACCTCCAGCAAAGCAATCAATTATCCCGAGGCTCAGTCTGATATTAACTCCCTATACAGCATGGACGATATGCGCGGTGGTACATGCAGCTAATGCAATGAAGTATCAATCACAGCTGATCCGATAGTCTCTGCTACCACCTCATCTAGTTAGAAGTCGAGCAAATGAAAACCCATGATTGGACCGATAAACTGCGATGCTACCTAACACTTTGTCGGGATATATCATATAGCATCCACGCACTAGTTATATGTAGCCAATATCTATAGTGACACAAAGCCTCCCTTGGCTGTAAAATCAGTGGTGGTGGTATATTTTTTAGTGAAGTCGCCTGATACCTAGGTGACTCCTAGTATAGGACTTGGTATACAATTCCGTTGTGCAAAAGTTATGCTCATATTTGTGTACCTAGGTAATACATAGGCATATTTAAAATGCAACAACTAGTTACGGTTCTTGAACCTTACTCTCAGAGTGAGTAAGGGATTCATCTTCACTTATACCCAGTCTCAAACCCCCCAAGGCTCAGGTAGAAGTAATCTCAATATCTATGAGTCATCATACCGTTCCGAAATCTTGGGAAGATGCTCTGTTTGCCATTCTCCATCTATCTCTACTATTCAGCGAGCTTTGCAATACTCCCAGTATTCCGCATTGCTCAGAATCAGTCAGAGCTAGAACACGGGGTTGCCTTACTCTAGCTGGAGTTATAAGGATAATACTAGCGTGAACGTCGCTGTGAGTGAAATGGATTCTCACATCGTTGGGAATACCTGGACTGCATTGGATGGGCTACAACAGGGCTGTGCTTTTTCGCCTAAGATTTAAAAACCAGTCATGGAATATTTTTTGAGACTGACGATCAATATGACCTTTTAGAATCAGTTCTGTTAGCAAAGACAGGCTGGCATGGATTAGAACAAAGCGATCAAGCAATCTGACGGATCTTGCTCGCTCCTGCACAGGGCATCGACCATATGGTGCAGTTGGTCACATTTGCTTAGTTTGTCAGAAGCTGATAGAGTGTTCCATCTCTGTTCAAAGGTAGCACCATTCACCAACTCCATGTAGGAAATTATCTCTGTCATTTCTCCACCATCCATAGACTTCCATAACAGGCACGCTATCGTCAAGGTATGTTCGGATTATCCACAAGCACTGGCCCTCTGGAATAATGGGTCTGCGACCAACGTTGACCATCAGATTCAAGGAGGGAACGGGAATTGGGGAGTATAGCTTGCTTTCTTCTATTGTAGAACGCCTTATCGCATCTGCGGCTTCTCTGACTTCGGCGGCGGTAGGGTGTTCGCAAGACAATGACGATTTGAAGAAAAATGAGAGTTCGGGAAACTATAATTTCCTCATGAAGAATCATACACCATGAGAGTCTCGGATGGGTTTGACTTGTAGAATGATGGGGCTCCATGGCCGACAATGCCAGTGAGTGGTGAAGATCTCATTACTAGGAGGGCATCACTAAACCATCAGGGCGCTGCAGCTTCTAACTAGCCAAATGCCCATTCACTTTCAGATCATAATGATTACATATGGACGGACTGTAATACTCGCTCTATTCTTATGATTTAAAGCCTTTCATTCGGCAAAATATTCACCTTTCCAGCAGAACTTGCTTAAGATTATATTCATGCTAAATACCTAGGTGACTGGCATCTGCGCAATAGTGTAAAATCTAATCACACCTCAATATGCAAGCGGTGCAGATAGTAGATATATGTACAACAATCGTCCACCAATCGGACCTTGAATTCAGATAACATCCATGTGTGTCTCTGCAAAGTGGCGTTCATGCCAAGTGATGGTTGAAATCATGGATGAAACCTCAAACGGTGCTGTTGTACCCCTCAAATCCTAGCAACCCGTAGACTTGTTTTGCACAGTCTGACGTCTTGCTGTCTGCAACCAATATTTTATGTATAAACCGTCAGCCTCGACTCCATAAGAAAAGTGCCGGAGCTTCCCAGGCTGTCAGAGGTGAGCATCAGCTTGTGCTTCATCAAATCGTTCTTCTCACTGACTCTCGTCGCGACAAGGATACTGATTTCAGTCTAACCGACAGGCAATATGTACTTGATAGGAAAGATAGGAAAGATAAGCCGCAATATCACAATTTCGGACCCCAATTAATGCTTTTCAAAAACCCTCTACAGGCAGAAATTATAATACAAATCATATTGTAAATTGACTCAGGTCATTAATCGCTTCCATGTTTGACGCTGACCGTATGCTATCGCGGACAGAAAGCGGCCAATGCATCAATGGCTGCCAATCCTCAGGAATAAGTGATGAAAGACCTGTTATTTCTCTCTGGGGCGTGGCTCCTATTGTCCATACATCGGTGTAGTCCGCCATCAGAGTGAAATAATGCGCAAATATTACGAGAGCACGGGGTTGTTTGTCGAGTACGAGCTGGCCGAATTTTGGAGGCAGAAGTCCTAGGTATGCAGCAAGACGCATGGTAACGTATTTTGTCGCTTGCTTAGAGTCAATAGCATATTTGATATTTCCCAGGGCTTCGACTGCCTGCGCATATGTTTCACTAATTTCCGAGCCCCACGGCTCAAGTTCGTCACGAGGCATGGCTCGTTCGAGCAAGTGTGCAAATGCTCGAGGACTGACATCGTCGGGCTGCTTGTGCCATTCCTGGGCGAGGATAGAAGCACGAAACAATTCCATTGTCACTAGCTTTTCAGAGCCGGGGTTCTCTCTAACGCATGTCCATATAGATCGAAAAGTTGAGCCTGCCATGCTCATCAGGCTAAGCCATTCTCCCGGGAGAGTGTACGGCTCAATGTTCCGTTCTTGAAGTCTAGCAAAAATAGTGAAGCGCAGTAGACTGGATGTAAACCATACAGCATCCGCATTAGACAAAGTAACGTTGCGGATTTCCTCGCGGTGGGCTTTGAGCACAGAGTCCATGTATTGGCAATGCGCGTCAGAGCAGTTACTCGATGGCTGAGTTAATGTGAGATGCAAAGATGCCAAGGCAAATATAGTATCTAAAAGAGCTGGGTGCTTCATAGCTAATCGAGGTGCATCTTCGCGCCACACCTTAGCCAACTCTGGTTGGGTTGAAGTCGGCAAGGAGTCAACGGTTTTTGTTATGAATTGAGACATGAGCTGAAGCTCGAGTAGATGCCTTGGGGATCTGCTTGTAGCCACATTTGACGGCGTTGGAGATGAAGATGAAGATGTGTTGTGTCGGTATTGATATCCCGGCTTGAATCTATCGTAGAAACATTCTACTCCATATCGTACGCAGTTCCCACATATTGGATGAACCTCGTCGCACTGTGGCCATCATTTATTATGAGCTATTCAGATCACCGTTATACGATAACAATACATATACAAATAGGGAGCAAAGCACACCTTAACCCGTCGCGAGCGACAAGTCCCACAGCCTGTTTTGGACTTTTTGTGATATGATTTTCTTGATTTCTGTTGACGCTGCGACTGAGGATCGTCAGTGGTAGGGTTCAAAGCGTCTTTCTGATCATTTAAACTCATCTTGCAAGATACATGGATACCAGGTGAATGTCGAGAATAAATCATTTACAAATTGCAGCTGGTGCAGGAGATGATGCCAATATATGATTGGTTGACAGTGCTGACATAATAAACTAACCAATTTCGCACTAGTCAATAATTTCTTGCCTCGTTGCCTTAAGGCCTGAGATGGCCAAGACATCCACGGGCAAAGCTCCCAAAGAAAATCATCATTGATCGATCTTCGCCTTTCACGCAGTATAAACACACATTTATCTCGTACAAACCAATTTTGATAGCTCAATATGCCTCTCATCAACGAATGGCATGCATCGCTGCCGTGTATGTCTTCTACTGAAACCCACTGTGCTACTTGCAGCTAACAGCAGAAAAAAAAACCCCCAGACATCGACGGAGAACCAGGAGAGCAGGCTCGCGCAACAGCCCAGAAGCTTATATCCGCAGAGCTGTCTCCAGAACACAGCTCGACCCTCCATCCAGCCATTCCAGCGTTACCTGGATCTCGCTTTTCACCGCTCATTGAACAAGAGCTCGCTCGGAAAGAAGCTGGTCTCCCACTAACGGGTGGGATCGACCTGTCCCGCTACGAAGCGCCAGAAGCGCCCGAGGGTCCCTCCAACACAGAAGACGAAGCCTCCAAAGCATTGCAAGAATGGAAGGCCACTTTGCGCAAAGCGTACATATCAAGCTCGCATCTGTCCATGCGCCACAACAACCTTACCCTTCTTGAAGAACATGGCAAGAATGCATGGCTCATCGGCAATTCCCAGTTGGAGGACATCTTGCGTGATGTCGAGAAGGAGTTGGCGGATACTAAGCAGGCTGTTGAAAACGTTCATAAAGACAGGAAGCTTGCTCAAGAGGCTGGGCATGGGGAACTTGCCGGTCTGGAAGATACGTGGAGACGCGGCGTCGGCTCTGTACTCGATGTCGAGGTTGCTGCGGAGAATTTGAGAATGCAGATCCTCGACCAGCGTCGTCAACAAGCCCAGCAATCCGCTCGGTAAGATCTGGCGCGTGACCGATTCGACATACATGGCGGTGTAATACTGTCTGCAATGCCGAGGACAGTTATTTCTCTCTTCTACCAGTCATCGATAAGCCGAACATTAGAGTTGTCTAAGTGGCACACATGCCATGTCGGCCTTAGCGATGATTACTCGAAGAATCCCTAAACAAAGTGTTTGCCTACTCGACAAGATCCTCGCAAACGTCACAGAGACGACACATTGAGCTGCAAGAGTTATATATTCACTGATCAGTGAGAACTTGGTACCGTGGACTCTACGCAAAGCCGTTTGAATGCCACGCTGGATATGCTCTCATCCCTCGTCTTTTCTTCTGAAGGAGACGTGTCGCTCCCACTTCCCTCCACATGTGCCTTCTGTACAGAACTCGAGGGATTTTGAGAAAGTCACTGGTTTTCTATCTCCTGTGCATATATATCATGACGCATAAGCTAGAGGTGACCCTAAAATGAACACATTTTACAATTAGAATCCCGCATTACGCCATACGCTTCTACCCAGTAACAAAGGAAACGGCCGTTAGGTAGTTAACAAAGGGTGCCCTAGGCACCAATGCATACGTATGTATTATGGATGGCATAATGGCATTGGCCCCGATATAAAATCGGCGTAAATTTCCCGACTTTCTTGAGAGTGTGAACCTTGACCGGCGAATGAGTATAACTTACTTACCTGGGTACAAAGCTCTAAAGACTCATGGCGGTTATTGCAATGCAATTAGATGTATCATAGCTGGACACGTTCTGGGAGCTCACTCGCAGGCATAAACTTCCATCCGATATGATGTATCGAATTCTCTGTATACTGGATCTATCACTCGACAGCCGGCTTCCTGATCGAGTGCTCAGTGAGTCATGATATGTAAGGATGTAAAGTCGGGATTCTTTCCAGACGGTTTTTCCCAATTGGGATACGAAGCGCTACTTTCCCCAATACGGCAGTTTGGCCTCCGGCTTTCGGTGCGAGCCCTCATCCATGGACCCTCCACACTTTCCTCTTCCAGGCACTTCTAAGTTCTGGTAAATAAAAATTTCCGCCTGGGACTGCCTGCAACTGTCTGCGTTGCTTTCCTCTCCTCTTGCGGGCGCGAGTTTTCATATTATATACTTGGAATATTGACTACATATTTGAATTGAAGCTATAATTTTTCCCTCTTATCCTCCGAGTCTGATATCGCAGAACGGCAGGGCTGCACTGTTTTCCGGCTCATATCTCAAGTGCAAGTCATTGACGCTTGAAACCCTCATCTCATGGGTTACAAAATGGCTACTAAAACAACTTCCCCAGCCGCTGACAGCAGCAGCAACAACGAAAAATCCACAGAATGGACAAAGGATAGTGAAAAGGCAATGGCGGCGCACGGCCAACAAAGAGGATCCGTGGGATCTTCAGACAGTGACAGTCTATACGAAATCCAGCCCGTTCGCAGCGAGCGCCAGGTCCATCCTGAGCTCAGAGGAACAGGCGACGGATTGCTAACGCCACAAATCTCTCGAGTATCGCATACCTCCAAGGCTCGCAAAATCACCACCGCAGGCACAACGGGAACGACCGATCCAGACTTTGAGATTGATTGGGATGGTGAAAATGACCCTGAGAACCCATGGAATTGGTCCCTGCCCTATAGAGCAATGTGCATCGGGTTCTTGTCTTGGAATACATTGGTGATGTATGTTTGTGCCGATTCAATCATCCATTGATAGGCACCTTCAGTACGCAGGGCAGATTAGATGGGTTAACATTTTGATGAATATAGTGTTCTTTTTTCCACGAGTTATACCTCCGGTACCTCGCAGATCGTCGAGCAATTCAACACCACCGATACCATTGTCACCTTGGGTTTGACATTCTACCTTTTGGGCCTGGCAATAGGCTCTGTCGTGATGGCTCCGCTCAGTGAAGTCTGGGGAAGGAAACCGGTCACAGTAGGAGCTATGATAGTATTCAATGTCATGATTATTCCAGTTGCCGTAGCCAGATCAATGGTCGTTATCATCGTGTTCCGATTCATTGGCGCTCTGGCCGGAAGTGTGATGGTCAGCAGTGCCCCAGGAATGGTGGCCGACATGGTCCCGGCAAAAAACCGCGCTCTTGCATTCTCGGTTTGGAGCATAGGCCCCATTAATGGTCCAGGTATGCCATATTCATTCTCTGCAGTACAACCTTAACACTGACGTTGCGACAAGTTATTGGTCCTATCCTCGGTGGTTTTGCAACTCAATATCTTGGTTGGCGATGGTCATGCTGGATTAGTCTCATGCTTGGCGGTGTTTCTCTAGCATTTTCCCTCGTTATGAAAGAGACATATGCCCCGGTCATTTTGCGGAAGAAAGCCGCTCGGCTTCGGAAGGAAACAGGGGATTCACGGTGGCATTGTCGGTACGACTACAAGGTTCCGCTCATAGAGACCATGAAGACCAACCTAAGCCGTCCGTTAGTCATGGCAGTTTTAGAGCCGATCTGGTATAGCCCTAGCCCCCTCTTTAAAACAACAGAGAGAGAACTGATTGTTTCGATATAGTATATTCTGGAATCTGTATATTGGAGTCGTCTATGGTATCCTATACTTATGCTTCACGTCATATCCGATTGTATTCGGTGATATCAGAGGGTGGAGTCTCGGAGTATCTGGTTTAGCATTCCTGGGAATCGGCATTGGAGCAATGACGACAATCACTATGGAGCCTCTATACCGACGGATGATCCAGAGACACAAGAAAGACCCCGAGACCGGCGAAGTATATCCAGAGGCCATGGTGTCGGTGATTTGCATCGGCTCAATTCTGATCCCCATCGGCGAGTTGTGGTTTGCGTGGACGTGTGCCCCCGCCTCAATTCCCTGGCCGGCCCCAATCGCTGCTGGCATCTTTTTCGGTGCTGGTAATACAGCCGTCTTTATTTACTCTTCTAACTACCTGACAGTCAGTTACGGTATTTTTGCAGCTTCTGCACTAGCAGGTAATTCCCTTGTGAGAAGTGTTCTTGGTGGCATTATGCCTTTGGTGGGCACATACATGTACGATAATTTGGGCCCTAACTGGTCCGGCACCCTTCTCGGTCTGTTGGAGGTGGCCTGTATTCCGATCCCGTTTATATTCTGGAAATACGGGCACAAAATACGTCAAAAGAGCGGATTTATTCGTATGATGCAAGAGGATCAGATGAAGCTGAAGGGCAGGAGAAAACCTAGAGAGGTCGAAGGTGGCGTTGCAGTTGAAGATATCGAAAAGGGCAACGCTGCTCGAATAAATGTCGAAGAATAATAATCCAATAAAAGTCAGCCTATCAATGGAAAAGATAAATGTGTTGATGTGGTTTAGCCTCGACTGATTTGTTGTTTTCGAGGCCCTAAATTGGAAAAGTTGCAAGCCCTTCAGGTTGTTTTCATGGAGCAAGTCTCATACGTAGATGAATGCTGAGCTCGGTATAGTGGTGAAGAAACCAACCGAAACACAAAGATAAATCAAAGGCCCCGTCGAAACCTCCGATTTATTGCTTGCATATCCGACACGCTCTGCTCGTATTCAGCAACACGTATGGCACCGGCATCAGATATCATGACGGCTTGCACGTAGACAGCAGCATCATCCCTTTCTCCCTGCAAATCCTCAGGTCTAATATATCCAAAGACATTCAGCCAAGTGCCGATTTGCAATTCATCTGCTTTGATGGTGTCGAGGACGTGGTAAATGTCAACTAGCACTTTCGTAGTATGGTCACTACTACGGCGGCTTTTGTTTTTTGCGTCTTTGGTAGGAGAGGAGAACTTGTGCTCGAGCTCCAGTCTGCCTTGCTTGATATCATATCGTGCAACGCTTTGATCTCGTATGTTAGTATTGAACAACAATTCTAGGTATTCATAATTTCGGCGTACCATCCTAGAAATCTGACTTTGGTATGTAAAGGGAGAGATGGCAGCTCGTGCATGAAGACAAGGCGGGTTGGTAGTGGGCCATTCATTGTGTATTGTTCAGTAGTAGCGTGCTAGTGCAAAATCAGCTATTAGACAGCATATTCCGAATGATTAAAAAAAGAAGTCCTACTAAGCAGTAAATCAATTATTCTCGAGGCTGCTGGATAATGATATGTAGGAAATGCACACGTGATCGCACCACTCCGATTGGCGCGTGGGCTTGGCCTGGGCCCGGCAGCGGAAAGATGTCATACGGAGACTTGGAGGGGAACGCCGTATCATCCATGCCTGCTTGCTTCCCAGGCTACCACGTTGTGTTGCGCGCAAAACGAGCGACATACTACCACCGCCTGTTGCTTTGCTGCCTGAACAGGTTTGTATCAATATCCGCCTGACCTTTTTCTTTTTCTTTGCCCGTGAGCAACGGCCAGTGCCGATAAGGAAGTTGGTTGGTGTTTTCGATTCCCCTCCTCGGCGGTGGTCGTTATAACCGAGAGAACACACATAAAGGGACAGGGTCATTTATCTCTTCAGTAACAGGAAATCAAGAAGACTCTACGACTGTCTGAACCCCCAGCAAGATGTGGTCGTGGTTCGGTGGCCAGTCCGCGCAAAAGCGCAGAGATGCGCCCAAGGAAGCCATTCTGGGACTCCGGGCACAGCTCGAAATGCTGCAGAAGAGAGAGAAACACTTGGAAAATCAGATCGCAGAGCAAGAGGGGATAGCCAAGAAGAATGTCACGTCGAATAAGAATGGTGCGTTATACTCGTACTCTTGAAGATTGGGAGAAAGCTTTTATGTCGTACTGATTTTGTGATGGACAATTTATAGTTGCCAAGGCCGCCCTGAGAAGGAAGAAATTGCATGAGAAGAACCTCGAACAGACCCAGAACCAGATCATTCAGCTCGAACAACAAGTTTATTCGATCGAAACTGCCAATATTAACCAGGAAACACTGTATGCCATGGACAATGCCGGAAATGCCATGAAGCGCATGCACGACGGTCTCACGATGGACAAGGTTGATACGATGATGTGAGTATTATATTCTTTTCCACTGCATCTCCCTTTTTCATCAAGATCACAAATAGACTAATCTTAAACAGGGACAAATTACGAGAACAACAACAACTCGCCGAGGAAATCGCAAATGCCATCACAAGCACGCCGCTAGGCGAACAGCCAGACGAAGACGAGCTGGAGAATGATTTGGATCAATTGGAGCAGGAAGCTATAGACGAGCAAATGCTCAAGACGGGCACTGTCCCTGTGGCCGATCAACTCAATCGGCTGCCTGCGGCTGCGAATGGAGAGCGTGAGTTCCCCTTCCCCTCTCTTTATATATATATATATATTCTAAAGACAAACAACTCACGACTTTCTAGTCGGCAAAGGCAAAGCCAAACAAACAGAAGAAGAAGACGATGAAGAAGCCGAATTGGAGAAACTTCGCGCCGAAATGGCTATGGGCTAGACGCCTGTATCTTAATTATTTAAACAACAATCACAATCCTGAACTCGAATTCATACTTACATCTGATATACTTCATCATTGCCATCACTATTACCATCATCGCGGAATTTTGTCTTGTCTTGTTTTGATGTCGCCGCGGTGCTTTTATCATATTGTGTTCTTTATGTGAGGGATTTTTGTCTCTTTTTGTCTTTCCGACTTTGGTGTTAAAGCAAGAAATTCTGTCTCGATATCATTTATGAATGAATGTCTTATTTACTTCCTATTATTGTATCAAGTATCAAGCTCGGAATAGAGATCTTGGTATCTACGTAAGCACCTAGTATCTACTCGAATGTCTATATAGATCTCCAGGGTTATCAAGACAGCTAAGAACCATGCATCTCAAATCAGAGAACTGTGTTGAAATTGGATTTATTAAGCATATCTCATGTCTCGCTTCTATGGTATTAGAAATGATATTAATGATACATCCATAAAGAAACCGCATAATTGTAATTGCCCAGGCACTAGGTATCATGGGTACAACATGAAAAGAAAATGTCAAAAAGAATGTGATATCAAGTAGATTGATTGGCTGGGGGGGGG